AATGGCAACAGAACAATTATTCACATATGACCATGAGCCTTCTGTAATGACTAATAGAACAACACAAGGATTCTTTAGTGTTTCCAATTGGTGGTTTGATGAGTGAGGATCTCTGAGACATGAAAGAAGCTTTGACTAGATCTGCTGTTTACACAAGAATTTCCATTTAACACTTACAAAGACAAATATCCTAATATTTCTGCCTATGCGAATCATTTATAGATCATAATATATTACATGTACAATTCAAAAGTCAAGTCAAATCATAGTTATTTAAACCAAATTTTGTTTAGGGCCACCAATTAAATGTCTTAGCCCCCTGTATGTCTCAGCCCCCTTTATTAAGCTCTGATTTACAGAGTGATTTTAAACCTTGGAGTGTTCAAAATGTAAAGCTAATAGTGAATTGGGAATGTTTAATCAAAAGTCCAGCCACAGAGTTGATGTGATGACTGATATATTTTATGTTTGTAGGCGACAGCTCAGGATACATCTTAATCTCAGTGCAGACCTTCAAATGCCAGGTTTCATTTCTCCTTGCTCCCTTTGGACTGATGTTATTATGCTGCTCGAGATGACAGTTGTATCAATTATGCATAAGGTGCGAATGTGCGAAAGGCATCTATGCAAATCAGGTTCAAGCCAGTCATAGCACAAGCAAAATAAATGAAAAGCTCATTTCAAATCCGGTACCACCAGGTAAGTTCAATTAAATTCAATTTATTCTTGTACAGCCCAAAATCACAACAGTTGTTATCTCGGAGGACTTTACACAACCAACGAATTCTGCAACACAGATCAGAGAATCAAAGAGTTCAAACACCTGTTTCTCATAAAGAATAGAAGAAGTTGCATTCAAAACAACAGCAGTTAAAGGTAAACAAAACCAGTGAAAAAGGTACAAGCATAACAAGAACTACTACAATTTTAGCCAATTAAAGCTGGAATACCTAACTTTATAATTTCCCGACATAAAGTTTGTGTGAAACTCAGCACCTGATGTCTTCATCATCTTCATCTTAGAATTGTTTCTATGAGACCATGTCAGTCTCATAGAAAGTGAAAGTTAGCCAGCACAACTTTAAGTGGCACCTACAAATTGAATTATTTTTGCATCATATTTTGCTTCCACTGATGTAAGTGATCTTTATTTATATACCGCCTTTTCACTGCACATCAGAGTCTCAAAGCGGTTTACAATTGTGATTTTTGGGAGTGGGGGCGCCAGTACAGGAGGCACATGCCAGACCTATTGTACATATTTTTAGTGGTAGGGGAAACCGGAGCACCCAGAGGAAACCTACACAGACACGGGGAGAACATGCAAACTCCACTCAGAAAGGCCCTGGTCCAACTGGGATTCGAACCCAGGACCTTCTTGCTGAGAGGCGAGAGTGCTATCCACTCAGCCACCGTGTCTGCTGTCGTTGTGTCCCTGGGCAAGACACTTAACCCCAATTTGCCTTAAACCCCTGCTGAAACACCGAGGCCATATCTGCGTTGAAGGAGCAGCCATCTTTCTGTGGACCCACCACCTGCAGGAGGATCAGTGAGGGGCTGGTGCTTTGAGCATTGGGTGGCAGCTCTGATTGTCACCCCCCTGACCCAGAAATGGATCATAAAGGGATGAAAATGATATGAAATTAAATTAAATATTGTAGTTATTTTCATACAGGTGCAGTATGTCTATTTTTCCTCCATGAAGGGAAGATCACCCTCAATCAAGGCAATACCGGGCAAACAGCAAGAATATGTGCATCCCCAATCAAAGATCTATAAACAAGAAGGTTGGTGATGAATGTATGCAAAGTGTGGCCATGTGTTTAGTTTCTTCAAATAGTTCACAGCTCCACACCCTCTCATCTTAATCCTGCCTAAATTTCTCTATATTCTTCCCCTTCAGTCTCACATGTGAGCTTTTCTTAGAGCAACACTGACACCACTAGGTTTCTAAAGAAAATGCAACTTTGCCGCAGAAGTTCAATTTAGACCTAGTAAACATACCAATTCAATCCATGTAGGACCAAGGTCAATACATACATTTGTCCACAGTTTTTAGTAACAGCCACATATTCTCACACTTTCAAAGGAGAAGAATCACACAGCTGTTTTATATTTCGTAACTTCAGCTGAACATGAATTGCTTAATTGAATCAATATTATATTTTTCTGATTTCAAATTGGTATATTGGTACTTCACTGTACAAAAAGATTAAACCTGCAAATGCAAAATGTCCACAAAAGAATCCCCAAAACATAATAACTGTAATTGTAATAACTTACGTGTGCCGAGAGTATATCAACAACTTGCTGATCTGACCACCACAGTATAACGTGTTAATAATAATGGCATCACCCACTTCTTTGAGTGTCCGTTATTGAAATCCGGACCATCATTATTATTAGTGTTAAAAGTAGTAGTAGTTGTAGTAGTAGTAGTATTGTTAGTATTATTATTTAAAACTTTCCCTCTTATTAGGTGAACTGTCCAACTTAAAATCTGACAAAAAACATCACGTGTATAAGTTGATATGAATATAGATTCATCTCATTCATAGATTCATGGAGAGTCTTGAATACCGTTATTGGTCGTGATCCCAGCAGCTCATGTTATCCAGGGTACTTTGTGGACAATGACACAATAATACGTGACAAAACGACGATTGCAGACAAATTCAACAATTTCTTTGTGAACATTGGTCCTGAACTGGCGCAAAAAATACCATCTACCGACGGACAAATTAAGGGACTAATCGAGACAAACCCTAATTGTATGTTCCTCACTCCAACCGATGAGAGAGAAGTCATGAAAGTCATCAGGAACTGCAAAAACAAGACATCTCAAGATATAAATAACATCGACATGAGGACTGTTCGAAATGTTGCAGAAGAGATCATACATCCATTCACATATATCTGTAACTTATCCTTCCAACTTGGTTGTTTTCCATTGCAAATGAAGATCACTAGAGTCATACCTATTTTCAAATCTGGGGACAAACATCATTTCAATAACTATCGGCCTATTTCCCTTCTGCCACAGTTTTCAAAAATTTTAGAAAAACTATATGACAAAAGACTCCGGAGCTTCATCGAAAAGCATAAACTATTTTCTGATTGTCAGTATGGTTTCAGGGAAAACAGGTGTACTTCACATGCATTGATTGACTTACTAGAACAAATTACAAATGGTATTGAAAAAAATAAATTTGTTGTCGGAATCTTTATAGATCTTCAAAAAGCCTTTGATACCATAGATCATCAGATTCTAATAAAAAAGATGGAGGACTATGGCATAAGGGGAGTAGCAAATAAATGGTTGGTGAGCTATCTATGCGAGAGGAGACAGATTGTTGAGATTGATCAATATAAGTCAGGCTTTCTGGACATAACTTGTGGAGTACCGCAAGGGTCCATACTTGGACCTACACTATTCCTGATGTATATTAATGAAATATGTAAAGTGTCTACCAAAATGAAATTCATCCTCTTTGCTGATGATACCAACATTATTTATGCCGATGAAAACCTTGAGCAACTTTTGGCCTCGATAACAGTGGAAATGAATAAGTTAAAACACTGGTTTAATATTAACAAACTGTCACTGAACCTGAAAAAGACAAAAATCATGCTCTTTAGTAATCGTAAACATAATATACCTATTAGAATTGTTATTGATGACACACCAATAGAGCAAGTCCAACAAAACACATTCCTGGGTGTTATCATTGATGAAAAAATCTCCTGGAAACCACACATTTGTTACCTGAGAACAAAAGTTGCCAAATGTGTCGGAATGATGAACAAAACATGTAATTTACTGTACACCAAAGCTCGACTCCTACTGTATCATTCATTCATAATGTCACATCTATATTATTGTGTTGAAGTTTGGGGAAATTGCTATGCATCCCATCTAAAGCCTTTGATTACCCTACAGAAAAAGGCCATTAGGATTGTCTCTGGTGTACACTACAGACATCATTCTAATCCACTGTTTGTAGAGTTGGAAGAACTCAAACTGCTGGATGTGATCAACTTTAAAACTGCTCAAACTATGTTCAGGGCATCTCAAAACTCTCTGCCTCCTAAAGTTCAAAACTTATACCACGATAGACACGATTGTCATAGTTACAAACTTAGAGGAAACCAAATTAAATATCTACCTACATTTAGAACTACTCTAAAGTCAATGTGTATCTCAGTGCGGGGAGTGAAACTTTGGAATAACTTGCCGAATGAATTAAAAAACTGCTCAAGCATAATTCATTTCAAACAGTTGTTTAAAAAAAATGTTTTAAAAAAATATAAAGAGGAAGGAGAGTGATGCCCTCAACATGAAGTAAAGGGGTGAGGGTGTAGGGTCAGAGAGTGTTTGGGCCTGTGTCTGTGAGGTGTTGTGTGTATCTGTGGTGTGTTGTGTGTGTGTGTGTTGTCTTGTTTTGTCCTGTCTCTGTAGTCATGTCATGTATTAGTTCATTCTATGTACGGTATAAGTTTCCAGCTGTTTACGAATGATCCTGTATGTATAAGGTTCTTGTACTGTACTTTGTGTTGAATGTGTGAGGGGGTTGGAATTCAATAAGCATTTGCTTCATCCACCTCCTTTTCAAACCATGCACCTGTATATTTGACTGTTATGTTGATTTTTGAGATGATGTTTGTGCAGGTTTTGAAATAAATAATATCTATCTATCTATCTATCTTATTTGTACATGTGTCGTTACATCATGTGTTTGTTTGTGCAGAGCATGCAAACACTCCACTAGGTGTCGCTGCTGGTTTGGAGGCTCGAAGCTTGGCCGGAAAAGGACGTGGCAGACATCCAGCTCATATCCGGTGCAGTATTGACATCTCCCTCGTTCATGGATCCGCAGTAATCATGGCTCCACTGTGTGTTGTTGATGCCGCTCAGAGCTCCCACTCCGGGGCTGTCTGACGCTGGTGTCCCCGCTGAAGCCCTGTGTGCGTGTGGCCGTGTGGGCCCGGCCTGACCGGGGATGTTTGGGCTTGTACTGCTCTGCGGAGCGCTGCTAGAGGTCTGCAGTGGCGTTTCTGCGAACAGAGGAGGATACCCCACTTTTACAGACGAAATCCCCTTTAAAATAACCTGGCCTGGGCCAGACTTTACGCTGGTAAGTGCCACGTTACGCTGACAATCGTGTGTTGGTGTGTAATTCACCTAGAAACTTCGTTTACAGCCAACAGCAGGTGTTTTGTACAGTGATGAGGACTATGTTATTATGACAACAACTGAGCAGGAGAAGTACAAGTGTCTTCTGCCTTCTGTCACCCCTGGAGACGAGGTAAGGGGGTTCATTTGCATAAGCCATGCTCTCAGATAGTGACAACACCTTCTGTTTCTGTATGTCCTGATGACCTGTTGGCAGGATATATGAAAAGAGTTGATTGTCTCTTGTGTTTGGCTCAGGACGATGAGAAGGATTACAAAGGACTGAGTGCAGGGGAACTCCTGGACCCCTTATTCAAACGCAGCACCTGTTCATACAGAGTCAGTTTCACTTCCTGCTTCCCATTCTTTTGACTGTGTCTGTGTGTCTCAGATCTCTCACTGTCTATGTATGGTCCTACCCTTGTATGTACAGCACATTGATAAAAGATTTCTCTAAGAGAACACTAATAAGCGGTTAGCTCTATGATCATAATCTGAGACTTGAGTGAAAGCTGTCTTGTGATTATTTTTTTTATTTTTATTTTTTTTACACCTGAAAATGGCAACATACTATGGTGAAACTGGGTGGGTTAATAATAATTAACCTTACTGTTAGGATAATATTTAAATTTAGGAACGTGTTATGGTAATGGATAAGGACCTGGAACAGGACACTAACATTTTTGTTTGGACTAATTTTAAGATCGAGTCATACTGGACCTATGAAGTATGTCATGGCAAATATGTCAGGCAATACCATGAAGAGAAGGAAACTGGGCAAGTGAGTATTATAATTATTTGTTGTTGTATAAAACATTTGAATGACAAAGAATGATTAATGCCTGTTTGATTGTGAAGAAGGTCAGTGTGCAAGAGTATTTCCTTGGCAATATGGAACAGAAGAGTCAGTCCACAGGTGAGTGGATTTGTGATACAAAAACGTACTTTTGGCAATATTTTTTATTCAAAACAAGGACTAATATCCACAAGAATCACAGGTTAACAATATGTACTGAACATAACGGCAACTTGCTTCTCATGTAATAAATAAATACATAAAAATAAAAATGTTCAAGACATCTAATTGATTGCATTGTATTAATTTTCAGAAAAGGTTGAGGAAACTAAAAGTAAGACATCTGACGATGATACAGAGGTAAGTTACTAAATCTGTATCAAAACATATTTAGAAGTTGTAAACTGTAGTTGATCATTTGAAAACTTCAGGTGCCTACTAAGAACATAGAGGGCCAGCTCACCCCATACTACTCTATGGACATGGGCAACGGGACTCCTTGTTCACTGAATCAGAACCAGCCTCGTTCTACATCAGTGCTTTATGTGTGTCATCCTGAGGCCAAACATGAGATTTTATCTGTGGCTGAAGTCATGACCTGTGAATATGAAGTGGTGGTGCTGACGCCACTACTCTGTGACCACCCAAAGTACAAGTAGGTCCAAGCTGTTTTGTTTTTTTTAACAACAGAAGCCAACAGTTGATTATCATCAGTTATTAAGGCCCTTTACACACATATTTATACAGTCAAGCCATTATTTTTCTCATCCAGTAAGCTCAATAAATTCTACCTCTGATTAAGATCCAGTTTGCCAGAGCACATCCTTCAGATAGAGCTGCCTTTAGGGCAATGTGGCGTACAGTGGTTTTCCAAGGGTACCCCGAGGCCCCAGGCAACAGTCCTTGGGGGGCCCCGATACCGACCACATAACCACATAAAAAGATTTATATTACAGTAGGTATAAATATATATTTAATTATAAGGTAAAAAGCAATATTCATTACTTATTAGATCATTTCTTATTTTTAACAATAAATGGATAGGCCTGGGGTCTGCCTGGCAGACTGTGCAGTCTACCATAGAAAATTGTGAGTACTTCAGTACTTATTGTGACCCAAAGCAATGAGAAATAATTTAGCATGTCTCTTTATAAGCTTGTTCACTACACTCATCATGTTATAATGAATCACAAAAAGTACCTATCAAAGTGTATTAATCCTACAAAATCTAATCTTTCATTTGGCCCTCAGTGTTTATATAGTCTAGATTAAAGATTAGGCTCTTAGCTTTAATCTGCAAAAAACGGCTTGTTTATACCTTTTACCGTTCTTGAGCAATCTCTTATATAACATAATATATAGTTCAATCCAAAATATTGCTCTCGTCCGGATTTGAACCCGGGCCACCACGTCACGAGTGCTGTATCTTAACCGCTAGACCAACATGACACTCAATACAGAGTCTGCCCCAGGAAGAGTTTTTATCTGTTGATGAAGATTTATCTGCCAACTCGTCACTGCAGGTAGCCTGTACAAGTCGACCGCTTTTGTCAAATCAGTCGGCCCTTGCGAACCTGCCGGTTTGCCTGTTGGCACGGGATGCCTCTGGTAGCGTACAATGTGTAATGGCTCCAGAACTCCGCCACATGCTTTTGTGTTTGCTGTTGGTGGAAATATCTGTGTTTATAATTAAACTGGTCTCTGGTCATGGTCATCTTATATAACTTATATACCACATTTATAAACCTGTTAACTGCTTACAATTTCCCAGAAAAGTACGTAATCACAAAGAGAACTACATACATGTATAAGAAAAATAATAAAAAGAAAGTATTGCTCCTTTAATTTGCATGTATGAACAGCAGAGACAAAGATTTGTAAAGGGTCCAACTAATTGCTCGAGTCATTTTGATCATTCATTTTGATTGCTATTTGTGTGATTGGGTTCAATTCAAGATTATTATTGTTAATAATTTATACTTAAGTTTAATGACAATAATATGTTGATTATCCTCAGATCTATTATATTTTTGTTGACCTGATCAAATGGTTTGTGCTGTGCTGCAGATTCAAGACTTCTCCAGTCAATGCCATTTTCTGCCAAGCGTTGTCAGGCTCTCCTCTACGACCACTACGACTAGAACAGCTGGACAAGGAGCGAGAGGATCAGCTCAAACCGCCATTCAGCAGCATTGCCTCTGAATCTAAAGACATCCGGCAGTCAGAGAAGAAGGTCAATGGCAGAACAGCAGAAAGTTTTATCACCTGCCTTTTAATGCATTCAATGACGGTAATGTGTGCCTTGTTTGAATAGGATGAGGCTCCTCCAGTTAGAGAAGAGGCCTTTACCTCCACTCACAAACCCATGACTGTTGGAGGACAGACCCAAGTCACAGTGGGAACAACGCACATCTCTCGTCTAACTGATGAACAGCTGATTAAGGACTTCCTCAGTGGCTCCTATTGTCTGCATGGGGTAAGAAGAGCTCATCGGATGTGTAAAACAAAAACATTTCAAACAAAACGTTTCTATTTGTTTTCTTTTAGGGTGTAGGGTGGTGGAAGTATGAATTTTGTTATGGAAAGCATGTACATCAGTACCATGAGGTAATGCTTGGTTCATGGATATCAAATACATTTCAAACGACCTTTTTCATGTAAAAGAAATGTGTGTGTAATGTATATATGTGTATATAATCATAATCCTATATTTAGGATAAAGAACAGGGAAAGAACATTGTGGTTGTGGGGAGCTGGAGTCTTGAGGAGCACATCAATTGGGCCAAAAAAAATGTTGCTCGCTCCTTTCAGCTGAAGGAAGATGGAGTCCAGAAAGTCAAGTATGTTCATTTTATTTTTTTGGCAATTAACGGTTGTTATAGAAACATACACATTATTATTACTAGGGCTGGGAAATATACTATATTGTTATATTTTTATAAATTATCACTCGTATTTTGTGCCACCTCTCACCTCTCACCTGTACGTCGCCCGAGCTCGAGGCCGGGCTGGTCGTATCACAGCCGACCCCTCTCACCCTGCACATGGACTATTCCAACCACTCCCCTCAGGCAGGAGGCTGCGGTCCATCAGGACTAGAACCTCCCGCCACAAGAACAGTTTCTTCCCCTCTGCTGTTGGACTCTTGAACACTTCTTAACCTGTCCCCCCGCCCTTTATAAAGTCACTTTACTGCCCATCATACGTCACTTTACTTCACTGTACTGCTGTCACCTTACATTGTGTGCACCATGTGCACTTGTATATTGTAAATAGTAACTGTAACTCTATTTTAAATTTAAATTTATTCTTTAGAAGTGTTTTTTATTCTTATTTTTATTATCTCTTTTTGACTGTTGCACTGAGCCAAAGCAATTTCCAAGTCTGTGACCTCCCGTTACTTACGTTGGCAATAAAAATGATTCTGATTCTGATTCTGATTCTGATTCTGATTCACCTCCCCCAGTGCCCAGTCTCACGTGTGGTGAAGGGGAACTTTATTTTATCTATTGGCCCTAAGTTAAACTCCTCAAGCTTAGTAACCTTTTTCGTCACACTCACCATTTTAGAAAATCCATGGTTTAGTGCTCTTTTAGATCCTGATTTTTAAAATTGTGATATTGTCTCTGTAAATCCAGATATGAGCCCTAAACAACTGACCAATCAATTTTGGCATGTGCGAGATGAAATAGACCGGTCCTGATTGGCGTTTGGTAACTTGGCCATTGCTACCAACAGAATGTGCATATATTTGGCTCTACATTCCCGCTCAAATGGCCTGTTCAAGCTTGCTCTAATCTGCACTCGATCAGTCCACTCCCAGCCCCAATAGGAGTATGCCTTTTATTTTTTGTATTTTGGCTTTTTATGTGTTAACACTGAATACACAAAAGGTCTGAATTCATAAGTAATTACAGTAAGGATGCAAATGAAATAATTTCCCGGCCACATTTAATTGAAAAGAATTGAACAAACTGTTAATAAGTAATAATTATTACCTAATAATAATTGCATATTCTGATTAATAAGTATGTGTATGTATTTTCCCATAGGTTAGTTTCCCACTTTTATGGACATGGGGATGTCTGTGATTTGACCGGCAAACCAAGACAAGTGGTTGTGAAATTGAAGTAAGATGAAACTCATTTAAACGTGTGTGCGTGCGTGCGTGCGTGCATGTGTGTGTGTGTGTGTGCGTGTAAAAAAAAAAAATAGTTAAAGAGACCATATATAATGCATGTTTTATGTGTCCCCAGAGTAGACTATAACGTGTATAAATCATATTTGACCTTTTCTGAACAGACTTTTTTGTCTTTCTTAATTAATACAACATAATATGTATGTCACAGGGATAAGAGTCTGGAAACTAGTTTGATTGTAATGACTTCAGTAGAACACTAATAGTGCTTATTACACATGCCCTCCTTGTAAAATAATGTAGCATATTTTATGAAATATGCATTAATGTGGATTCTTTTTTCAGATGTAAGGAGTCTGAATCTCCTCATGCAGTTACTGTTTACATGTTGGAGCCTCAAACATGTCAGTATGTCCTTGGGGTAAGTCTTTAAGAGGTGTTGTGCTTCTTTCAACGATACAGTGAGATGAGATTATGTATTTGAACATCCCATATTTCGCTCTTCTTCATGCTTCACAATCCACATGTGTGATAAAAAATTTGGATGTTTCCTTGCAGACAGCCAACTCCTCTCTGTCACTCGTTGACGTAGCCTCATGCTAAGTTTGTTGTAAACGCACAGCGTGGGGGCTCATGTACTTAGGGGTACTAGACCTGAGATTCTGAGAATACACTTGTTTTCCCCCGAACAGCAATCCGTTTCATAGAGCCTGTCAAGAATGAACCAGACAGAGACGGAACGTTGTGCACCAAACTCTGGAAGTTTATTTAGGTTTCTCTCAAGTTCCAGTGGTTTCTGTTGTTTCTTTCATTCAGACCAAAATGGAGTCTGTACATGTTATATAGTCATTGTTACGTCACACATCGAAAGACTTACGTGTCACACAGAGACAGAACATATCATAGTCAAAACATGGATGCACCATCAGAGTCCTTGTATAGTCTTGCAGTTGTCCTGCCAAGGGCAAATAGCTATCTAATCCTCACAAGCCCCATGTCCTCGATCCTGAATCGAACCCTAATTATTTAGTTAACAGTAGTATACAATGAGTTAGTAAGTAAGTAAGTAAGTATTTATTTATATACCGCCTTTTCACTGCAGATCTGAGTCTCAAAGCGGTTTACAATTGTTAATTTTTTGTGCATTAGTCTCTCACTCCACACAGAGATGGGAGCGGGGTCGCCAGTACAGGAGGCGCATGCTAGAACTATTGGACATATTTTTAGTGGTAGGGGAAACCGGAGTACCCGGAGGAAACCTACGCAGACACGGGGAGAACATGCAAACTCCACTCAGAAAGGCCCTGGTCCGACCGGGATTCGAACCCAGGACCTTCTTGCTGAGAGGCGAGAGTGCTATCCACTCAGCCACCGTGCAGCCACCGTGCCGAGTTGCATTGTACTTACCGATCAATCTCTGACTAAGGCTTGAGGGAAAAAACTTCTTAGGGTGTGTATAAAGGCCAAATAGCCCTCTAATGATGTCTAAAGTATTAAAAGTCATAGAAAAGTATGGGACCTTTTAAATGTTGGTGTTTCAGTGCCCTTCCAAGATGAGGAGTGCGGAGCACACAAATGAATAAACGATGAATAGCTGTACATGTAAGAATAGCCAAACATGTTGGCTTGTCAGCTTTAACATCTTGCAATATTTTTTTCCTCAAGTCTAAACCTATTATACTAAAGTAATTAAAAAGTAATTGTGGTAGAATTCTTACATTACTGAGACCTCTCTGAATCACAATATATTCTATCCATTTGGAACTTTAAATGATAATTATATGTAATACTTTTTATTTTTTATTTTCAGGTTGAATCTCCAGTGATATGCAGAGTTCTGGATACAGCAGATGAACATGGACTTTTATCAATATCCAGCTAAACTTTGGATTGTATCAAAAACACTGAAAAAGTGGTAGAAAAGCTGAGTCTTTGGCAAACTCTGTTAACCAAGGAGTTCTATGAGATGCACCAACAAAAGATTTGAGGCCCAAGAAAGGCTGAAGGATCCGGTGCAGAGAAAGTGACTGGGATAGTACCTCATCCAAAAAGACATTATTTCTATTCAAAATGTTCTCTGCCTTACTTTCAGTGTCTTTAAAATAATTGTTTGAAATATGATTTTGTTTCAGGGGGAATGACTTTAACATGGAAAAGGTTTTACAGTGGCTATTTGCACTAGTCATGAAGCAGCAATGTGTGCTGTGTATACATGCTGCATGGTGAATTTTAATTTATAAGATGTACAGTAGAAGACTTATTTTATTTCAAAATTACACCTGTGGATGATAAAATAGGTATTTCGTTTTATAACAATGCACACTGGGATTGTGATACTGTATGAGCTGTATCAGAGATATGCCAATTGATTTTAAGTTACTAATAAAACATCTTCAACAGACTGGTGTGTCACAAACTGAATATGGGCTTTGTTTCATAAAGAGCCTAATTTTGTTCTTTGGTGGAATCTACTCTTTGATTGTAAAATCAGCTTGCACCACCAGAGGGTGCTCCAGGAAAATAAAAAGCAAGGGCTAGACAGGCAGACTGCAGTCAGTAATGAATCTACTACACAAACATTGATCATGTATCTATAAGGGTTGTAAAAATGCTGACAACATAAAATACTTTTGGAAAAGGAAGACCACTTTTAAATTTGCCAAACATTTATTTGTTCAAAAAGTGTTAGAATCACAAACATTTATTAAGCAAATGTTCTATGTGAGGCGTGTGCAGGTTTTCATAACGCCACTGTCACTACAGCAAAGCTTTCAGGGCTCAATTCAAATCAGCTCATGTAGTCTGCAGCATTCTGAACCAAAGTCTTGCATTAAAGATGGCACATGCGTGCACAGCACAGTATTTAGGGAAGATCCACTCTGAAGTGTATAGGGCAGAGAGCAGAATACATGTTGGCCTCTATTTCAAAGTCTTCAGATCTCTTTCAAGTGTGTGTTCATATTGTTTATAGTCCTGCAACAGCCCAACAGATTGTATTATGATACATTTAGACAGAGGGAATGGGTATTTGATGGACAGAGGTACTGTCAAAGTCCTGCAGTGCATCTTGATGCGTGTGGTAATGCATAGCTACATAGGACTTAGCAAAAGCAAATGTTTGTGAGCTGACTGGCTGCAGACTTGTGGGTGAGCTGGGTCCAGCAGATGGGCTGCTGTTGTAGATGCTGTAGTAGGGCTCAATGCGGGTGTTGATGGGTGTGGAAGTGCTGGGTGGCCGAGGTTTGCGTGCCCCAGTGCCTTTTGGGCTTCCCACACAGTCTCTAGAGTGGCTTGGCCCACATGCCTGATCAATAAGCCTCCTTTGTGGCTTTGGTGACAGGACATATGCCGAGTTGGTCTCATGGTGTGATGACTTATTACGATTTACTTCAAGACTGCCTTTTCCCATTGCATGAAGGCGAGTCTTTTGCTTACAACAAAGAAAACCTAGCGCCACCCATTGAAAACAGCACAGGACACGGCGGCGAAGTCCAGCACTGTTGCGTGAGTACACAAAGGGATTAATGCCTGATTTGAGAAAGATGAGCACAAACCCACATAGTTCAAACTGATAATGTGTAAAGTTACTCTCCGGAGACAGCACATCTTGTGCCAGTGAAACTCCCATGGGCAAGCAGCATAGAAGAACAGAAAAAACAATAACTACACAAGTCACCACAGCTTTTGAGTCTTTGGCTGTGGCCAGGTTGACTGTGGACACCAGCTGACAGCAAGTAGCTCCTGCTGCAGCCCCTGGCACTACATGCTGGTTCTTGGCAAATGAGCGAGTATGTAGATTCTGCAGCTTATTATATGTCTGGTTCCGATACAGAGGGGGACCTTGAACACCACACTGCATGCTCTCAAAACCAGCTGCCATGAGTGGCGGAGGAGGGCAGGTGGCATCCACGCTGATGATGGGGCATTTCCTCACTTGTGCGTTCTTCCTCAGAGTCTGAGCAATCATGAGGTAGGACACCGACACCACAGCCACACAAAAGGCAAAGTCTGCCAGGTAGACATACAGTACCACTCTGGCCTGCCCGCCTCCGAGACCAAAATGTGGCAGGCAGGGGCCATCTCTCCGTGGATAGGCTCTCATTGTCAGCAGAGCTGCCATGGTGAAGCTGGAGGTCCACAAAAGAGCAGTCAGGGCCAGAGTACAGGGGAAAGAAGCCGTTCGGTTTGGCTGCTGCCCCAACACCATGCGCAGTCTATGCAGAGCAATGACAGCCACAGTCTCCAGGGACATAATGATGAAGCCCGAGCTGGTCAGATGGAAGGCAAAGCAGAAACTTTTGGAAACCCCATCCCCTCCACTGGCATCTAGAAAAAGCACCAGTGCAAACATTGGTGCTGTCACACAGCAGATGAACAAATCACAAAACGACAGGTTGAGGATCATGAAGTCAAAGTTAGTTCGAAATTTGCGGAATGCTGGGTCAAAAAATGACAAGAAAACAACTAGATTCCCATAGGAGCCCAGGCAAAAGATAACAATGAGTAGGAAAGAGCAGAATGTGAGGGTGGCAGTGTGGATGACGGCCCACCCTGACAAGGCCTGTGTTCCAGGAGTCACACTCAGGTTCTGTGTCCTTGGCACTCCCACCAGCTCTGGGGGTGGGACAGTGGTGTTCATTTTAAGCAGATCTTCTGTTGAATTCTACAGGATGGATTTCACATCTTCCTCATAAAAAGCTCTTGCGGCTCTCGATGAGGGAACATCGTTGAAGCCGGATGCTGTAAGACAAAGAATGCAAATTCATGATCATATTTTAAGGAAAGACAATGTCCCACATCTTTATTAAACCCGTCACGTATAGCGACAATTAGCAGGTTGCAGACGTCAATTTGACATGGCTTCTACATTTTGGCTATCTGCTGTAGCTCTGCGCCACTGCATACTGCGCCCAAGCAACAATCCCTTTGAAAATGCAGTCTGTATTTATGTTTACTGCACACGCCACTTACAGATCATATATTGTACAGTATTAATAACAGAACCAAACGTACCATGTGAAATCAGTTGCATCCGTGATAGTTATTTGAACCTTTTCGATGCATCTTCATGTTCAAGCCTCAAGTGAACGCATCGCGCCTTCACAAGATGTAAAAAAGAGCTCGCGTTAATCCGGCCAAATTTGGCGTCAGTGTGGCGGAGGCTGGCAAAAAGAGACAATACCAATGTGTGGTCATTTTGATACTACATATTTTCATCAATATCTGAAGACTCCTTGGGTTTTTCTTCGCGGTATAATGGACCCATTCTTGAGTCGAAACGACGGCTGCTGGACGTGCGCTGAAAAATGAGTATGAAGTCACTGCCTACGTAGGCTCCAGGCATGAGCAGAACCGCTGCATTCAGGTGCACGTTTGTACCAGACTGTACAAGTCCAGGACGCGGTTTAAGGGGGTACGATTAGAACTGGAGCCATCAAAGAGCTCTCTTATTCATTGTATCATGCAACATACAGTTCAAGCCACGGTTGTTATTTTCTTAATTTATAAATAGAGAAAATTGCTTTTTAATCAAATGGAACCAGCTGTTTCAGAGTAAAACTGCAACAGTTCTGACTGTACATTCAAGCTGTGATCCTTAACAGCATCCCAAAAGTTGCTAGGCAACAAATATGAATGGCATTCATTTTTAACACAGGCAGGGGCAGTCTGCAGTATGCGCTATTTAATCCAAGTGTACATATATAACTAAAACAAAATCAGAAAAACGGCAAATCAAAGCTTCATACAAACTTTATTATAACATGTAATAATCAAACATTCCATTTAAAATTAAATAGTAAAAAAATCACTGCAGTTTTGGCACTATACTAAACATACGTGAGATCCTATACCTATGTTAAGGGTTCTGGAAAAACAAACCAACGGTTTATTCTCAAGGGTTTTGGAGGGTATAATCACACTCTTTAACAGGCATTTTGGTAATGTTTTTGCACCGGGACATTAATAGTTATAGAGCTGTGCTTCTCACTGCAAACACCATACAGGGGGAGCATCTCCTCTCCCTTCAATGGAAAAGTACATGATAATTATTAATTTGAACGGGACATACATTAAAAGAAAATAAACTTTATCACTTCAAAAAGAATAAATAATAAATATGTTGGTGCATATTTGCTATAGAATGACTTATTCATACATTATGTAGATCAAAAGGACACAAACACATTCTGTGCCCAGACTCACTAGAGGATAGTAAATTTGGACATTGTGTTGGCTCAGAGCTCATACAATCCTGAGAAATGTGTAGGACGCTGGCAGATGACGTCAAGCATCTTCTAAATGCACACACTTCATTGTGCACAAGCACACAATTTAAAAAGGAGAAAAACTCTGTACAATAATCTTACAATCTGCAGGACTTTCATACCTGCAATGATTAATCCTTAAATATTAAGTATAGCAGAAATCTAAATTAACTAGACAGACAGATTACCAGGCAGTTCAGTCCACATCTTACTTTTCAGTACTGCCTTTTCTCCTCTTTCAGACACATCATGGTGTCTATAGCAGCTTGACATTATACATTGCTGTAAAATATTAAGAATATTAAAATAATATATTTGCAATTCAAGGTAAAGTCTTATTACCTGGTATTAGGCATAATAACAAGGAGACACAAGCAGATCAGTCAGAACAAGAAGCTGATCATCTGTGAACTGCTGCTTATGCTGCTGCCAGTTGTCGTGATGTGTTCGTCTGAAGTTTGACAGGGTTTTCTTTACAGTCATCTGTGAAGAAATAACACGCTTTACTTGTGTACCTGCTTTGGGTTCTGGTGTAAATTATAATACCAAGTATACAAGTCCTTGCCTCTATGGGTTGGGTATCATTCAAGTGAGCACTCAAGTCCATTAACAGCTGAGGCATCCAGGTGGGGACATCATATGGGCTGGAGAGTATACATGCACTCAGCCCAAGGACACCAGCATGGCGCCGTACCAGGTCTCCAAAAATAAAACAAAACGTTACATTCAATCATCACCTGTTTTGTTGCTTAAAGTTTACATTAAAACTTAATTACCAGCTGAAGGGATTGGGTCCACCAAAGCACCAAGTTCCCGTTTCCTCTTTTTAGGCAATCGTGTTTTACAGAGAGCTTCAAAATGAGCTTGCATTGGGCAATCCATAGAAAGAAAATTGCACTGTAGAAAGCCACTGAGTGTTGTTGCAGCCATTTCTCTAACCTGGAAAACAATGAAGTATGTACTGGATCGTCCAAGATAAATTATTGTTGTTTTTCCCCTTTTGTACTGGATACAGGTGAGCCAAAAGACAAAATGTGCAATACATTAAAACCTGTATTGGTTCATATTTTGCTCTGTCCTGTCTGTGTCCCTTTATCTTTCCTCAATCTAAACATGATTGCCATCGCAACAGATCACTGCAGCCTCCAGTTACCATAGCAACAAGTATAAAGACAGGGTAGAGAGAGTGCCGATTCACCAGTGACTGCGTTTACAAAGCATAATATGGAGTATGCTCAAAAGACATTTTTGTTACGGTTTGATAATCGCACCGAATGTCAGTAAAAAAAAGGAAGAGAAGCCTCAACCCTACAAACCTGAGAACGCTTTTAAGGTGCTTTGCAACTTTCCCTTATTACTCAAACTTCTATCGTACATGCTTATAACTAGCTAACTACACACAGCAAATATTGTACAGACTATCATGTAATCTGCAACGTTTTCAGCGAATGAGGTTTTAGTGAGCCCCCACACCCATTTCCTTTCCCCTTTTTTAATACAAATGTACGTCACCTCCAGTTGTTCATCCTCCAGAAGCTTAATCACCAGGGCTCGGATATTGTTCACAATCTCCTCGTCATTCATGACCGTGAACAGATTGTAGAAAACCATAATTTGAAGATATGTCAGTACAGTGTATCGAGCATGCCAGGAATTGCTGCCAGCAATCTGCAACAGATTACAAACAAAAGTTAGAGGTGACAGAGCTTTACTTTAGTATCCTGAAACTTGGATGTAGTTCTAACACACATTGGATGATTATAGCATGGATTGTAATCACGAAGCCCCATTCCTTCATCTTACAACACCAGCCTCCAATGGCTTGAAAATGACAAGTGAATGGCAAATTAATGTTGAAACACGGACTCACCTCCCTCAACACACTTAGAACCATGGGGATCTGCTCTGCGTACAGCAGCCCTTGGGACATCAGAGACAAGCATGTTTTTGCATCACGTTTTAGCTCATCATAGCTATCATCATTCTCAACTGGAGCAATCTACAAAAAATACAAGCCACATAAATGTGCGATCAAACGTACTTATGAAAGCAAAAAGTGCCTACCTTGAAGAGCAAAGGAAGAAATTGTAGCTGTTCTGAAACAGCAGTAGAGAATGACCGCCCAGCACTTGCCTTTAGCCATTTCAGCACTGATGGTATGAAAAAAAGTAATTAAACCATATTCATGTTTAGAAATGCCTTGCTAAAAAATGTCAGTTTAAACAACAATTCCACCTGTTTTAAGTAGTTTTATGGCTTGTGTCCTTTCATCTTGCTCCTCAACCTCATTCTCTTCAATCACGTGATTTTGTATTTCTTCATCGTTTTCAGTCAGTGGCTTCAGCCGCAACAAAACCCTCTCAGTAAAATCACAAATGCGAGGGGACATGGTAGGTTTGGTGAAAGGCAGATTCACATCAATCATGAAGATGTAAGTGAGAACACTGGAGGGAAAATTACATACATACATTTATACAGTAAAGATGAGAAAATAAAATAACACAGTAGAAAAATATAAGATACCTGCCAATTCTTTCCCGCACATTTTTGTAGACTTGTGTCAGTTTCGGCTCTAGATATTGGAGCAACCTGTGAAGGAGTTCGGGAACGCGCCACTCCTGCTGAGCAAGTCCTCCTTGCAGCACATACAGGCGACTGAGAAAAAATATATATGTTATTGTAGTTTTAGACAATTTAGATTATTCAAAATATGTTTACCAGGCATCCACAAAGGACCCGCCTTCTCCATTTACAGGAGATTCCATGAGCATCTCAAACAGCCAGTATAACTTTCGTGGGTCTCTGCTCTCCTACATAAAAATCAAAACAGATACATTTGAGGAGCAAGCAACTTATGTGTGTGAAAACTACAATGATGCCTGAACTTACGCAAGCTGTTGCAATGCAAGTGCCCCAATCTGCATAGGTTTCTATGGTGATGTTTGACAGAGCAGTACGTAGTATAGGACACAACATTGTCCACAGTTTCTCAACCTAGTAACATCAATCAAGTTAAAGCATTGTATGTAGTTTTTTACAGATCATTTTCAACTTTACCTTTGGATAACTCCAGTGTTTACAGCCTCTGATCAAACCAGAGATGATCTCTGCCACACAGCGCTGTTTGCTCTCATGAGAGTCTGCAACAAGACGCTCCATGTGTGGCTGCAATAGCGGCAGAAAGGCATCATGAAAGTTGCGGAATAAACCCTGAACAAAAAAAATGTATTTTCAAAAATTGTTTTCAGTTAAGACAACAATTAAAAATGTTTTTGGCATTCCCACTTTGAACAAACAAAATCTGCGAGGGCTGAATGTGTCCTTGCCCTTCCGGTCTTCCAGAGATAGAAATTCTATAAACTGATTGATGAAGGCTGCGTCTGTGAAATGCTCATATATTATCTGTTCTCGCTGTTGTGAAAAAAAATTAAATGATTACTACAGAAAATAAACATTGATATTTAGCAAGTACGACTAATTGTGAATTTACCTCAGTCATTTCCTCTCTAGAAAGGTCTTGTTTGGGCTGCTCTTCAGATGGTGCATATATTGTCAGATTCCTAAAATTGAAGGAATTGAATCAATAGAAATCAAAATAAAATATGACCAATGAAAATAACTTTCTTCAGTCTCTCACTTTGGCCAACAATAGTATCCCCAGTGTGTCTTTTCCATAAACACACACTTGTCCCAGGCCTCCTGTGTGCGCGGCAAACTGCTGCTGTCGTACTGAAGCCACTTGTTATCAGGCCGGTCTCCTGCTACAATACTATCAGAGTCCTTGATTTCACCTACAAAGAAAAAGTAGAATGTAAACCAGAGGACAAATATCCATAAATCATAGCTTGTACGATGCTTACAAAACTTGGATGAACTGATGGAGATTTTCTTATGTGGTCTCTTAATTTGCTTCATGATTCCTGCAACAGCTGATATAGCCACCTAATGTAAAAAAAAATGTCAAATTAAATCTTGAGAAATAAAACTCCAACCAAATTGGTAACAAACCTTGCGAACATAGAGCGAGTCATGATTGAGACTTTTCACAAAGAAAGTGATGGCAGCTGGTGGGAGTTGATTGTCATCTCTCAACAGCAATGACAAAAACCCAATTGCAATGTGTTCAAATTTCCAAGGCCTGCAAAAATCAGACATCACAAGTTTTAGTAAAAATTTTGTTTAAATATACATATATTATATACAAATATGCATACATGTGTTATATATAACTACACTTACACATAGTACACATACAAATATAAACAATACTAGTAGACTTACAAGTTTCTATTGCTTAAGTTGTCCAGCAGATCAACAATGAGTTGATCGTATTTCCTAAAAAACATGACATATTTCTTTAAGTGAAACACATGGGGGAAAAATATAGGATAAACGTCAGGGTCACTCACTGCACAGACTCAGTGTTCTTGTATTCTTGTTTCTGCAAAGCTTCTGCTACATTGTTGGCAGTTGGGACAGGCTCAGACGGGACTGGGGCGGCCGCAACCATAAGCTGCTTGGCCACAGCACAACACTCAGAGGGAATCTGCCAAGTGTACACAAGTTTAAAATAGAATAGATGATATTTTGATACATGTTGTCATTCACAAAAATAGTCTTACAGCAAAGTCAATGCCAATTGTCTCATATTGGCGATGGATTTTATCTGCTAGGTCATCAAACAGTCGGACAATGGAAGGCTTTTCCAGGGACATAGCCGAGCTGAGGCCAGACCGCACAATAGCGGGCCATGTCAAAGAAATACAATCCCAGTCATGTAGATTGGCAAGGCATACACCATTATGATTACCAAGAAGGCAGTACAGAGCACCCTGAAACAGAAAAGCACCAAGAAATAATCCTTCTGCACATGCGGTTAAAAAAGCTAATGATAAAGCCTCATCATACTTTGAACTGCTGCTGAGTAACAGTGCTGTTGTCTGGGTTGAGAAACTGCAAAACATGAGGGATAAGATCCCGACAGCAGAAGTTATAGGTCCCCAGTGCAGTGAAGAGAACAGTTTGAGCTCTGTTTCGGACCTGCAAGATAGTAAATTGTAATTATCTTCAGTATTGTAATAAAGTTTTGAACTTTATCTTCACAAATAGTCCACAACTGATGTGAACTCACTTGGCTGTAGGTGCTTGTGGAAAGTCTTAGCAAATCTTTCATCAGATCTTGGTGAATACTTCTGTATTGACAACCCTCCACTGTCAGCTTTCGTAACTAAAATCAGAACAAGTTGGAGTGTGCAGAAGAAAGAACCTATTTAATGATGAAAAGGAGATTACGTACTTCATGTTGAAGCATAACTCGATCTATTAGCAGTGCCCTTATGTGCTGCTTTCTGAGGTGAAGCTGAAGGAACAAATTCTTAGTGAAATTGAATACAATAATAATAACAAGACCTTTGTAATTAAATCCTCACTCTATTTTCCATTGATTTTTTGACCAGGTTGAAGCTTTTCCACCGGGAATCAAACTCATGCTTGTGTGAACCTTTGAAGTGCAACAAATCACTGATGATCTGAAAAAAAGTGACATATTCAATAGATTTGTAATAGAACCTGATGTGACCTTTTTACATAGAATAAAACAATGAAAATAAAGTGGGGCAAGCAATATTCTTACTTTGATGATGGAAAACAGTGACTTTGTGTCATCTTCAGTGTGCTCCAAAATGTAATCTGTAATCAAAAAGAGTTAGGTGTGTTCACAATGCCACTAATGTAAAGATAGTGTGTACATACGAATCAACTGTCTCATCACACGACAGATTGCATCTCTGTAGTTCTCTCTGGAGTGATCTGAAAGAGCAAATCAAACAAGTTTGTTGGGGATTGTTATTTTTCGGGGTTTCTTTGCAACGTCTCAAACACATATTTCAAGATTCAAAACATAATATTAGACCTATTGTGTGTGTATTTTACACACAGTGCACCAGGCTCTACTACAGGAGGCTTATAGGGCTTGTAGCAAAATTCTGTCACACAGGTTCTTCTGGATGTTTGCTGAACCGATGACAAACCTCAATACAATACAATACAATACAATTTATTCTTGTATAGCCCTAGCTCACAACAGAAGTCATCTCAGAGGACTTAACAAAACCATTGAAATCACCAACACAGGTCAGAGAATCAACAGTTAAACACATGAACCTCCACTGACAAAACACGATGCACACATGACATCTGAACGGCCCAGCACGTGTCTAAAACTAAATGTTTTGGACTAACCCAGTGCTGTTGAGTGTCCATAGATGAAGGCAACTCACTTGTCATTATAGACATTGTATCTAATGGAAAATCTCCTATAAAGTCGGTATTTTTGTTGTTGTAAGCACTTACCATACTCCATGCCTGTATAAAATGTGGTTTCATTTAGGTTCACCAAGCTCTGAACCCTGAGAACAATCACACAATTACAACAAATCTGCAGTAATTTATATCAAATAATATCTCATTCCCACTACTTACAAGTCAGGGATGGGTTCTCCTTTTAAAGGTGGCATGAGACTTCCTGCTCCTAAGAGGCAATGTTGGACAATGGTCAGGCTCTGAAGGACATCATCTCTGGAAAATGAAAGACAAAATTGGGGTTAAAGCAACTCATAGAATACATTCCTATACAGTACACTGAATTATACCTGCTCAAATCCTGTTCCCCCTGGGCAAATCTCTGAAGGCGCTGAAGTTCCGGCTGGAGTATAAGGTCCAAAAGGTAAAAAGCAAATGAAGTCTCCTCAACGCTAGGCACATGCCACCGGATGTCCAAGTTCCACAGATCCCCAGGTCGACCCCAATCCTATAATACAAATTTTGAGTTATTGCAGCATCCATTTTCAAAAAATACAATTCACTAATTTATCTATTCTATTGACAAATGTGAATGTCATCTACTAATGAGAGTAGTCAATCTAATTCTTCTCAGGCATATTTGGGTAGTAAAACCCAGTGGTAATTCATCCTTGTCTAGGCAGTGCAGATGAGCTCATAAGCAGAGCTAAAACAGTCATGCTACATTGTTAATTTGTCACGTAAAAGTTATGACAATGAGACTCTTAAGCTGTTTTTTTTACATTGATTTACCCCGTGGAGACACCGGAAGGTCAAAATGAGGAAACTATATGATTGCAGTCCATCACTGCACATAACAATGCCATTATTGATAAATTTTCCTGCCCCCCGGCCATTTTGAAAAAGCCCCATAGGAGGCAAAAGTGGTGAGTTTTAATGGCAGAGATAGGCGTGACTACGTCTGTTAATATTTAAAGTCTATGGTGTGTGTACATGTGTGTAAAAATAATCAAAACAAAACTGATCTAGTACATCTAATAACTTTCTAGTATAACTAATGTGCACAAAGACAGAATCAGGAAGCTTTGTGGCATGTGTGAAAACTTCCTTAGTTTTTGAGAACGTCTGAGGTAGAGAAGTACCTTAATAGGCAGATAGTCACTGATGGGTTGGTGAAAGCCTCCAGGCACACTACAATACTCAGTGGGATAGATGAGAACAGAGGAGCGGAGAATGTGGTGTAGCAGGTTGCATGCTAACGTATAGCCTTGCTTGCACTTGAGGTGGAGGGTCAGCTGCAAAATCTGCACCAGTTCAGAACGATAAGGCAAAACCTTGTCTCCATCTACTCGGGTCACCTACATTGTGGAGATTTAAAGGTTAGGTCAGTCTATACTGAAAAAAAACCCAGGATGAATACAATTACCTCAGACAAGAGCTGAAGATTCCACAGTAACTCTTTGTCGAGCTCTTCCTCCTGGAGGACTTCCTCATCTGAACAGTACAAGTTAGAAATTGAGAGTCATAAAATAGGAAAATGTCTTGCACCATAAAAAGGTAACTTACGAACTGCAATTTGGTTGATAGCGTTGCAGCAGTGTGGAACAAATATTTTGAGTGCCTCAGCTGGGTGACACTACGGAGGCACAAAGGTAAAAGAGAATGTTGGTATTATTATAATGTTCTTTACTAAATGTTTTACTAGTGATGTGCCTTTACAGCATCACTTGACTTCCAAATAAAAATGAATCACAAAAAATATCTAAAATTGATTGTAAGCTTTACATTTTCTGAAATAGATGTCTGATGTCTTTAGAAGTCTGATGTTTTGAAGTGAGGGGCGGGTGCTATGTGTACTGACTGTCACCCCCGTGACCCAGAAATGGGGAAGAAAATGGATGGATGGATGTTTTGAAGCAATATAGGGATAACAACTATGTATTACATTGACTAAGCCTAATATAATTTTACTCCAATTGGCTGAATCAATTTATTCTTCACCTTTGCTGCAAAAGATGGATATCTTTGGGGCACTACCTTGTCAATTTGCAGAGCCCCCCTCCCAGTGGTGGCCAAGAGTATTGCTGCTTAGATGTATGAATCCTTGGCTTTAAAAAGGTACACTGTGTAATTTTTAGTGCCATCTAGCGTTGAGATCATATATCTCAGTCCAATATAGTACTGAAGTCTTTGACAGTGCTCCTCAACCCTCAGTCATTCACAAGACTGCCAAGGAAAGAATACTTAAGTTTGATAAATGACCGGATCTCTCCAAATGTCTCAGGCACTTGACAGTTGCGTGGAGGCAACTCGAAAACAAGACCACGTTCAGACGCGTCACCCGCTGCACAGAGTTTTACCATGGATCCATTATAATAAATAGTTTTTAAAACGCGATGTGAAGAGAAGAGACACATGGAGAAATAAAGAAGCAGGAGATATACACAGCCGCGGCAGGACATGGCTAAAAGCTCATGTTAGCTTTAACGTTAGCCACAGCGCCCTATTTGCATCACAGTAAGAAAACAGAACATTCACTCACGCTGCTGATAAAGTATTCTGGCGATTGTTTTGTGAGGATTCTGTGTGTGTTTTATTTGAGGTTTTTTCCCTGAATAAGTTTAGTTGAAACTTAGTATTAGTATACATAGTAGTTGGAATGCTATGTCACAAGATTGGAAAAGATTGTTGTTCGGATTGTTCTTTTACATAACTGTGGTCCTCCATGGTTCTTTTACATAACTGTGGTCCTCCATGGTTCCCTCTTCCAACTTGTGAAGGCACGGTGAAAGCAACGATATCAGTAGCTCATGTGAACCGAAAACGCGATTCTCGCATCCTTTTTGTCCCTTATCCACCACCGTTTTTCAAGATGGCGCATTGACATGGCGAGCACTCCCCTCTCATGAACACTTATAAGTTAAATTCTAAGCCTATGAATACAATTAAAAAAACATGGTGGAGGTAAATATTCTTAAAAAGGTCATAATTTGTTTTTTCATATGGAGCAGCTGTTAAAATGACACAGGGTGGCTTTAAAGATTATGGAAGCACTTTGGCTCTTGAAGTTGTAAATAAACTTTATTTTGACTTAAACATTTAACTGAATGAAATGCAATGCATTTCACGTGAGACTTACTTTAGACGCAGCTCTGCACATGTCAGCAACCATCCTTCCAGATACGCGTGTTTCAAAGATGTTGGTGGTCGCAAAATTGAACACCTTCTCCAAAGCCACCTGTTAAAAGTAACCTACTTTATTGTAACATCTTTTCAAGACATTCATCATTCTTTAACATTTTATAACATTTTGTATCAATTAAAATTATAAAAAATTGTGATTAATCTTTAATTTACTGTCAGCATAGGTAAAGAAGTATAGTGACCTTGAAAATGTCCAGAGAGCACTGTGTCAGGATTGTGCTAAACGTTGATGACAGGCCTAGTTCCACTAGACTTTCAAGATGAGTCATCTTTTCCGTTTCTGTTTCTTCTCGGGTTTGTTCCAGAGTGCTGCTATCTATTAGGGCAAAACATCTGCGCAGACCACATATTAATAGTCAACTTATTACTGTGCCTCAAATAATTAAAGCATTATTTGAAAACAAATTCACAAAAACTTAAATCATCATTCACACACCTGTCCATGAACTGTAGGACAAAATCTTCAAACTCTGCAGAAGCAGAGCACATCTCGCGTTCAATCTAACGACACAACAGGAAACATTATATAAAGTTTTAAGACTTAGAATAACACTCTCCTAAAATGTCTCTACAAACAATTTAATAATTTACCTCTGTTAAGTCTGTTCTTTCATGAAGGGCAAAGGAGCAGTCAACTAAAGGCACTAAGGTCACAAATGTAGCAATAAATTGAAACGTGATCTGTGGACAAAAAGAAGAAATTATTTATTTTTAATCACAAACCACACGGTCTGGATGAGCCATAGAAAGCAGACAGGTGAAAGTACCATGCACTTGCTGAAATCATTAGGGTCCACCCCAGGCAGAGCCCGCATGAGCAGGGGGAGCATATGAGTTGGCCCCTCGGGAAAGAAGCGACCCCCTGAAACCAGGCTGCGAGCCACTCCAATCATGCAACTCAAGGTAGCAGTGAGCTGATGCGGCTCCGTCAGAGTCTCCAGAGCGGGGTACGTCCTGCCAAGTGAAGAGAACAATTACCTTAGTCAAACGAGAAAAAAATTATCATTTCGTTTCTGAAGCGTGGAGTTATTATATGAAGAAACATTTATTTAAAATGCAGACACCTTTAACTCCGGACTTACTTTTCCAGCACCGGTGGAATGACCAACTCGGGTCGCATCAGAGCAAGGTTTTGCAATGCTTTTGCAGCATCAAGACTGCCCGTTTTGCTGAACATAGCAAGTAAAACAGGCTCCATCATACTATTGACAAACTCTGTGATATCCTGCTCTGTGAGTTTGTGGCTGTCGGGTATCGGTGTGAGCCAAGTGGGCTTTCTGAAACGCTCCCTGTGCAGCCTGCGAACAACACTTGCAGGAAGTCTATGTAGCAGTTTCATCAGCTTCATCTGTGAGGGGTCATAAAAAGAGACGTCTTACCCTCTTGAGAAATGTTTTTTGTTAGTGAGAACATTCTAGAAAGAGTTGATATTTATTTTATCCCCATTCTTACTCTAACAACAGTAAAATAAACCCAAGACACAATTAAGAACAAAAAGAAGAAACAAACATGAAATGTTTTACTCTATTTCAGATGATGAAATATTTCTTAGCACATCAGATGTAAACAAAGTTTGGAGTGTGTTTCCACAAGTTTCCAAGTAACAGCCAAAAATAAACATACAGAGTCATCCCTGTGCCATTAATACTACCCAGTGTAGGACATGTTGTTGCCAGAGCTTTCAAATGTAATGGAGGGGGGTTCTCAAAACAGAACGGCATGCATTTCTGCAGTCACTGACCTTTCTAAAAACTGTTGGCTCACGTGTTTGAACCAGATCCTGTTATAAACCTTGAGTACGTAACTTTAAAGAAAAGGCCTCTGAGAACATTTATTTTTCCCGTCCTCCGCATGACAGCCAGCATGGTGAATCAGTCCCTAAATGAGATTCATTTAGAAAGCCAGAGGACTCAGCCTTCTTTGAATCTCAATAACTGTCTTTGTGGATGCTTTCTTAAAATGAATGATATAATTTCACAAAACTCGTGTTGTGTAACTTTTATAAACCACTTACCAACCACCGACCATGGTTTGAAGGATGAAAGAAAGATGTGATACTTTTGAAAAGGCCATTGAGCTGACCTTGCGCCTCTTTGTTGGGTCCACCCTAAAAAAAATAAAAAATAAGAATTGTTAAAAGTTTTGTTTATTTTAATGACTACTATTGTAAGTAAACTCACCAATAAGGCAGAAACCCACAACACAGCATGATTTATGTCGTATGCATTGGTGATGTATCGTGGTACCATCATCTGACTGGTTCCAACTGGAAGATTCAAACTTCTCAAAATTCTAGTAAAAATCTGAAATATAAGGGGGAACTTTCAAATGTATTTGTCAGAGATGTTTGTATGACAAAAAATTATAAATGAGCAATAAAAATGCATATAAAATAATATGGTCCACCTTCTAAAACTGACTGCGAGATCAACAAGGAAACTTAAGAAGCCATGACTATTTGTGTTAATGTGTTTCGCAAACCTGACGAGGGCATGGGGATATGGCCAAAAAATTACATCACGATTTGAGAAGGAAATATCCCATGTTCACAATATAAATAACACTGGGAAAAAACTTCATAACTGCACAATTTGTCCACACGCTATCAGTCTGAACTGTGGCGTCACTGGTACAATAGTCTGCTGTAATCATGTATGCTTATTTTTATGATTATGATTGTTTTTGTTTTTGTGTAATGTTTTTCTTATCTGGACTTCGTGTCTGTAATAAAGTTTAATAATAATAATACAAAATATACAGTTAATTTTTTAACAAGACTTTCTATTTTGATAAATCAATGCATAATATAAAACCCAAAAAAGCTAGGTCAGCAATTCTGGGGGGGGGGGAGTTTGCCCAGCACCAGTCCGGTGACTCGGCATATAAAGTGTGTGGTGAGGGGTCTTACAGTTTTAAAACAACTTCAGCAAAATCAATTCAATTTTGCAACAGTTTCTGTCACCATCAACACGTTATGCAAAGAGAAGCGCCTACACCAGCTACCGTGACAGCCCAGAGTCAAAGATTTCGCACAAATTGAGAAAGGACTGTTAGGAGGTAAGCTTGTTTCGGATTTCCTCTACCACAGCTACAATAGCAGCCAGTCTCTCCACGCACTCAGACCAAAGAAAAACATCACCAGTGCGCATACACACAAATGCCTTTGTGTGAATTCAATTCCATACAGTACTTTAAAATTATACCAGTATTAGATCGCCCAGCCGTATAGTAAAGAAACAAACACACCTTGGAAATATAGGGAGTCCAGTCAATGTAGCCAATGCTGTCATTAGCCAGACGAGCAAAGAGACTAACCAGATGCTGAAATTTACAACAGAAGGACGAATTAATAGTCAGTATCCTTAAGAAATAAAATGACCGCTTTTATCTTACCACTTCCCAGCTTGGAAGATTCTGAACAGACAGCCATAAGCTCAGCATCTCCTCAAACCACAACCTGATAGTAAAAATCAGACTTTACCAGTGATCGTTGGTGAATTAATCTTATTACAAATATTTTCATATAATCATACTTGAAACCCTTGTCATGCAGCTCTGGGGGGAGAGTTGTTGGCAAAAATAGCTCAAAGTAACTGATTGCTCTCTGCATTGTGACATCAAATGGACATAGAAGAGGTCTCCACTCACACAACATCTCCTGAGTGGCTGAGTCAGAAAAATACCTGTATGAATACACATAATTTGATTGTAAGTTCACATAATTATTTTTTATGAATGCATACAAAATACAGAACATTTTTCTAAATGACAACAAATGATGTCAACAATATCTGATATAGATGTGTAATAAGCGTAAAGGCTTTTACATGTTTACGTTGAACCCGTGAAAAATGGCAGCGCTGAATTTATGTTTTTGTTTAGTGTAATTTGGTAAATGCTACTTCAGCTATAGAAAACAATTCACACTAGTTGACCAGTGTTTCAGCACTTCACAAATCACTCTCCCTACTGACAGGAAACTCTCAGACAGAACAGAATTAGATGAGATAATAGGATTATCCACGTAAGACTGAGTTTGAGTCCAGGAGCATCCTGAAATATCTGCAGCTCTAATACAAAAATCACAGAACTTTTCTTGTTTATAGATAATGATGAATATCAAATAAAAAAATCCAAATTGTGAATACATACGGTCTGCAGTTTTTCACCAGTGCTCTGATCACATTTTCCACAGAGCTGAAACCAAAAGAAATATCAAAACTTCAGTGAAACAATAGACAAACTTTAGACTACACAAGACAAAGCACTTGATACATTAAAATTCAAAACATGCCTTGCCTGAAATAAAACACTACTTGGAAAGGTCTTTTAATTGGCCCTTCTCATGACTATAGTGAAATCAATCACACGTTGCTATTCTCATAAGATAAGAGAGTGATTGAATAATATGTGGGTTGTAGTTTATTACTAGTCATTTGTATTGACTTTGCAGGTCATGGAGCTTCTTAAGCATCACTCACAAGGTTATCTTCACATACAGATGATGAGACTTGTGAGGTCACATAACTGCTCTGAAATCCCATGACCAATATAACTACAGCTTTTGAGCTCCCCAGCCCAACTCCCACCTATGTGCTTACATGCAAGCTTAAGCCATGCCTTGGTGGAAATGTCAATATGATTCAACCATAGCTTAATTTTAGATAAGATAATTAGATACACATTTGGTAGACCTGTGATAATACAACCATTGAATGAGCATCACAACAAATGGGTTAAAAAGAAATCATGCATTTCAAATACACTCAAGTATGGGTCTGTTATAAGTATCCAGATGATCTTTGCATCAGAGCCTGACATTCACCACAGCTCACTACAGGATGGGGACAAACATATGGGCATAATTTCTCCCCATAGCCCCCAAAATCATCTGCAAGGCCGCAGCCCACCACCAATGAACACTTTTGTGTCTATGTAATACAACATCTTTTGAATAATGTTGCAGAACTAATTGCGGACATAATCAAAAGCAGATGAAACTACATCTCACATGTGAAATTAGAAGAGGTCCCAGAGAAGCCTATCAGAGTAGATGCAGGGGATAGAGGGTTGAGAATCTGTTAGCTGCAGTGCGACAGTCTCGATTATGTGTGTAATGTTAACATTGATCATGATGGGTTTTGTTTCTTGTACAAGCTGCGAAAAGGTGGCCAGTTTGTGATTTTACATGCAATTTATTCAAGAAAAAAAAACAAGTGCCCCACAGGATTATTTCAAAGTAAAACATAAGGAGGAATATTGTTCTTACCACCTCCGAACCAATTTTAGCATTACGTTTTTAGAGGATGTACGAGGTCGAGGAGAACTGAATGTGAAAGGAGACAAAGGAATAAAGATTGTGTTTCAGTGCCAATCATAAATAATATTAAATTAACTATCTTTAAATAAATTATTGTTATGAATAGCATCTGCAGTAAATTCAGCAAGCCTTTAGCCAAAGCAGCTTGTTTTAAAGCAAAATGAGAAAAACGCATATGCAAAAATATGTGAGAAACAATGTTCCCATAGCACCATAAAAGAGCACCTCGCACTGCTGGCTGCTAGAGCTTCAGATTTTCTCCATGGGTGTTGAATTAATTACATATATGGTGTTTCTTGCTTTAATGTCAGCATACTGCATTGTTTAAATAAGAAAAGTAAATCAAAGCAATATAGTAGTTAAGATTTACTATGCCTGTCCAATATTAAATAAAATCAAGGATTCATTACAAACATTCAAATGAGTGTCCAATAATCAGTCATACATACATATACATATACACAAACATACATACAAATAAATACACACACACACACACACACACACAGACAGATTGTAACACTAAAATAGATATGACGCATACTTAGGAAACCAGTTGAGACCCAGATGTTCAGTTTTGGAATACAGAATCCTGTCATGTAGCTCGTAGAGGGGTCTCCATGGCAATTCAAGGTCCTCCCTTGATAGAAGCTCTTTTTTCCTACAAATGTCAAAACAAGGAGTGCAACAAAATACAATCAAATATCAAGTAAAACATACATTTTCTATCCTGGGAGTGCTCCTGTGTTAAATTGTTTTTTGAAAGTAATAAAACGGAAGACAAAAAAGAAAAAAAAAAAAAAAATATATATATATATATATATATATATATATATCAAATAGTGTGTGTAAATACTACAGTCTCTTACTTCAGGAGGTTGATGAGAAGGCGAGAAAAGCCTTGCATCATACTAATCTCCAGTTTGGGGATGGTCACAATCTCATAGAGCAACTTGATGAAGAGTACATGATCTTCTTTGCTGAATTTCCGGCCATACAATCGCATGTACCTTGATATAAAAACAGTAATGTTTATAATTATTGAGGTAAAAACAAAAAACTAAAGTTGTCTGCTCAGTATTTTGTTATGGGCTCTTTCAACACAATTAAACAATTAAATTAGAAAGCTTTATAATACAAGCATCTTGGATCTGGGTCATCCACACAGCAAACTTTCCATCACTCTGAGACGGCAGTGACTCACATCAGGTCAGCATAAATAACAAGATCAAACAGGACCAATAGACATGTTTAGAGAACTTGCCTAAAGATGATAAAATTAGCTAATTATAATAATGATAAAAATAATAATGACAAAAATCCCTCCCTAGTTACTCAAAAATAGGGTTGTTTCATTTAGGGCAAGCAGTCAACATAAGCATTCATTCGCTGCACAAACAGGTGGAGGATCCATCTGCTGACATAAATATCTTATAACGATAAAATAAGCATTTTTTTCAAGACAGTCTATTGAGACAGTTACTTTGTTACTTAATATGTCTGTACCAAATATAATACTTACGTGGAAAGTTTCCTTGTCCAGAACAATACACCGGGCCATATTTCTCTAAGCTGTACGGCTCGAGCCAAATTACCTTTAATTTTGCTCAAAACATCATTGGACTCTTCATCTAATCTATCAGCATATGGGAGAAGTTTGTTGTATACGATGTCTTTCTGAGGTTGAAATCCCAATGCATTGCTCTGTGTCGTTTGCATATTACAAGTATTAAACTTGCTAGCCCCTAGATGCTAACAAACTGAATTAAATACACGTTTGGTTATTTTGTCCTTTCTATAAGCCACCGTGGATCCACTAGAAGTGTCACCTCGGCCACTAGTAAGACTGTTATGGCCCACGATGACTGTGTAAGGAAATTCACAAGTTCCAGTCACGCTAGTTAGCCATTTAGCTAAACTTGTGCTAGCTCCTTTTCCGATAAAGCATACTTGTTTTTAATGAATAGTAAAACAAGTATAAGCACACTGGTCAGATGAACGAGTTGGCACAGGAACTCCACTCCTTTGGCGTTCGTTAAATCCAAAGAAATATGAAATCTGCTCACGGCGTGGCTAAAGTTAGCAAACCGCACTACAAAAGCACAGTCATATCCCAAGGACTGTCAACGTCGTCTGGTCCATCCAACTACAGCTTAGCAGCCACTAGACACCGCCCACCCTGCTCCAACCGGCAGCCGTCGTGCCCATTAACTACATTTCCCAGGGTGCGCCGCGTCATTCATTCTTTTTATAAACACTTTATCCTTTGGCATTACAGCGGGATGACCTGAAATCCCCTTCAAGCTCGAAATCCAGATCATTTTCCTGGGTTGGTTGTTACGAAACTGTTCCTACAATCTTCAAATATCGAAACAGAGTGTTTAGAGTGTCGGGTGATTTTGGTTTGCATCTTATGAGCGCTATTCAGCGGCGTGACGGGAGTTCAAAAGTACAGTTTTACTTTAATTTAACTTATAAAACATATTCCTCAGGAAAAAGTCGATGTACGCATCATCATGTACTGTGTACAGAGCAGACATTGAAGTTCTACTGCCATCGCGTGGCTTAACGCAGTAGTGCAGAATACACGTGCGCAATTTACAAAAACAAGGCGCATCGCTTACAACCATTGACAGTAAATAACCCGTACAACTGTACGTTTTAATATACAATTTCTACGTGTATTGTGTTGATCTTCATTGAAAGAGCAAATTTGACAGCACGGAAGTAGACCTGAGTTTAATGTCACCATGGTAACATAAACTGTTAGCGTTAACCATTCATCCTAGTCGGTTTGTGACTGCTAGCTGCAACGTTCAATATGATCAGCGAAAAGCTTTGCCTCATTCGGGAACGGCTTGTTTCACACCAGCAGCTTGCTTGCTTTAATTATTTCTATGCTGTACTTAATGGAAAGGACCTGTTGGTTTATTCCTACATGGCTATTGAAAAGGTAATTCGACTAACAAAAGTTAAGTTGAGCACTAGCGGTTAGCCTCAACTGTTAACTGTTAAGATCTAGCGTTACATCTCATGGAAAATATTTGTCTGTATTGATATAGCCACTGTTACAATTGACTGGCCATCATCGTGACATCAGTGTGATGACTTTTGGAAACGGCAACAAGCCAGTTCTCTGTTCGGCCTCTGCTGATTACATTATCATCTGGGATATTGAAATTTGTCAGAAGAGAGTCAGAGAAGGTACGTCCAAATAATGTATTTGTAATAGTCTCTCCTGTTGTTGAATAGATGTATAACCTAATTAATGACTTGGGTTGGTTAACGATGTATGACTCTACATTATCATTGTCGTCAAGAAGAGAGCCACGGTGCTGTTGTTGAGCTGTTTCCATATTTTTCAGGGGAAATTGCTACTGGAACAATAATCGCCACACTGCTGGGAGAAGTAGTTCATCTTTCCTTTTCAGCCTCTGATGACAGAGTTGTAGCATGCACTGATAGCAATGTTTATATACTGAGCTCAAAGGTAAGATTTGTTTAAACATCGCAGTTACATACATTAAATACTATTTGTAATGACTCTTATGAAATATATATCATCACCTACTAGAAACAAGAAATAATTTCATCTCTAACTGGTCATCTTGGATCAATAACGTCAGCAGAGTTTTGTGCATGGAACAATAACATTCTGATTACAACATCAGAGGACCGCACTTTCAAGGTTAGGATGTTATGCTTGTGCTCAGTGCAACTGTCCACACACTTTGTTTTCAAATCAAATAGTCCACTAAACTACTCTAAAATATAGAACATCACAATATTGTGCTTTTCTACAGTTGTGGGATTTGCAGACGGAATCTGTCTACTATCAATCATTTGTCTTGTCCGGTATGAAGGCATGTGTGTTTTCCAGAATTGAATTTGTTTGATTGAGTTTCCTTTTCGTTTAGCTTCTCCATTATTCAGCGTGCTTTTTTTGTCAGAAACACAACAATTTTGTGTTGGATCACTGGATGGCCAGGTTAGGCGACTCAATTGAACTTTTATCATTTTGTTTATTTCCTGTTTTTTCTTGTGCTTGTTTTCCTATAATTTTGTTCCCAGGTATGGTGCTTTTCTTTTGCTGATGAAGATAAGTGCCGGTTGGTGACCAAGACAGATCTTCAGAAAATAGAAAAAAGGCACAAGATGCTTCAAGATTTTTTGGGACAACCAGGAGGCAAAGATATTTTCACAGAAACATTTTTGAAATATTTTTTTAAATGTTTTTAACAATGTTCTTTGTCTCCAGTAGTTACCAAACAACATACACCAGAAGAAGTGGAAACTGCTAGACCTGTTCTTAAAATGGAATTGTGTTCTGCCATTGGTGAAACAAAGTAAATATATAGTAATAATGTTTAGAATTCGTATGAACCGATGTGATATTTGGGTTTGGGCTACATAGTTACAATGCATAAAGTTAATCCAGGAAAGCTTGAAATCCAACCAGTGGTAGACAATATATATTCTGGACAATATAATCCAAACTGAGGAACAGTCATCTTACATTTCCACATTGCTCAATTATTTGTTGCACATTTGGGACTTGCTGATGAAGGTTATTACAATCTGATTTCACGGAAGCGATTGTTAACAATAATTATACAAAATAAATGCCAACTTGTTTTTTTCCCCAGAAAAAATAGCTGGATATGCATTGGAAGCACAAATGGCCTGTATATGATGGACCCAGCAACCACTGAATTGTTAACAGTTCTCTACTTTCAAGGTATTTTGAAACTTAAACGTTGTCACTGTTTTCCATAAAATGTTTGTTTATGCACTCAAGATTATCCTGAGCTAAGCATCACCATGGCTGGGGCTTATTCCTTTTCTGTGAGCCAAGATGATAATTTTGTGAGTGTAAACCTAACGTGTATCATATGATTCATTCATAAACACTTTATGCCCTTCCACTAAAACGTATTTCCAGATTCTGCTGTTTGTGAGCTCTTTGTTCACTTCATCCTTGAGTCTTCTGGAAATAAATTCCCTCAGCCTGTATGAGACCTGGTCCAAAGCGGAAGGCCTCTCAGTGTTTCCAAGGTAATTTGTACATAATAAAATCAGTTGTTAATGCTTAAAATATAGTAAAAAACATTTTAGAAATGTATTACTATTTTCCAGTTCTGCGCCACTGTTAGGGTCCTCCCTGAATGCACAGCTAAAAAAGAAGGATGTTAGCCTTCCTCAAAAGAAAGGTTGTATGATTACTATATTCTTTATCTAATTCAATCAAGTGAATACAAGTTAGACTGCTCCAGGATATATTGAAGTAAAACAGACAGACAATTATGACATGGTGTGACAAAAAGCTGTCATAGGTGTATTGTTGTAGAGGTTTGTGGTTACATTGCGCATTATTTGACTTTTTCCATATAGATTTTTTTTTTTAACTCAAGACTTATTCCGTGGTAAGAATCTGGCTCAAACTGCGTGTTAGTGCTGAGCCAGACGTCCCACAGCTGGAGAGAAGGGAACTGCCAAAGCCAAGTTTTGTATAGGGATCATCAGGGAGTCCATGGGCACAGCGTGAATCCATAGTGTATAATAGAGTACAAAGTCTTTGCACTGTGGAGCCTGCACTTTTACTTGCTTGTACTTACAATCTGGCCTTACAAATATGAAAGAGAAAGACAATCACCTGGTTACACTTTGAATTCATGCACATATTCAATTTGCGCTTCTCCTTAAGTAACTCAAGGCCAAGGTTTACACAACCAGAATGTGGTGTTTACGACAACATAAAACTAAATCACCATGAAATAACAGCATGGAGTCAATGGTTCTTTTAGACACAGCAAAATGTTGGTACTTAAGACTTTTAATTATGCCTATCCCAAATGTTCTCAAAATGTGCTGGATTTGCTATTTTGTTAAAATTCTGGCTGGAAAAATATAATAACATTTATAAATGGTATGGAAAATCTGACCCCGCAATAATTATTTAGTAATTTTTTAGACATGCCACTCAAATATATCTCTGTATTGAATATAACTCGGATAGATGGCTCTGCTTTTCGTACTCAATGTTACATACCACTATCTCCTCTTATACAGTGGGAATTAAAGATAATTCACTGGTCTGTAATTCTAAAGTGAAATCATCTGGATATACTACTGCTCCAAGGTAAGTTTCTAACCATTATGATTTTCATCTCATGATTCTCATATTATCATTGTTCTTTTCAGAAGGAGTATGTTTACTCCCAAAACAAATGTTAATAAATGGCCATTACCAAAGACATCTAAAATTAAGTAAGATTTTCCCTAAAAATAAATTAAATTAGAGAACACCTGATGTCATAACCTTACATTCATGCATTTTTTAAGGAATTTTAAAGTCCAAGATTACCCTGAGGATTATGCATTTCCCATTGTCTCAAAGCAGGCACTTCCCACATCAAGTAAACCTGTGTACAGCATGGAATATTCAGGTAAGGCATTTGCCTCATGAGTTGTGTAACTTAGGGTTGTCCAAATGTTTCAAAATGAGAACCACATAACGTGGTACAACAAATGTTAGTAGTGCAGTTTTGCCCCAGACCATAGTTTGGATTCCCCTGGTAAAAAAAGGTATTTTACTTTTGTTTTCATTTGTCACTACTTAATTTGCATGTATGTATGCTATACTGTATGTTGTATGGCCTGAAACCATCTATCATTACTGATCTGCTACAATATCATTTAGAAAAAACAAAACGACCAGTTCCATGAAAAGTTCTATGTTTCCTCTTCTCTCCCAGGTGACGGAAAACAAGTCCTGTGTGGTCTTGGCGACTGCTCAGTGTTACTGTGTCAACCCTCCCTTATGGGCAACCCGACTGTCTATACAGGTGTGTGGAGTCAACACTGCAACTCATGCTGAAACATCTGACTCTTATTATGTCCCTAAGGATTTTATATTTTGGCAGTATATTTATCATAATTAGCTTTGAAATTGATTACATATTCAATTTGCCCGAAATAGTGTGTGAAACCCCTGTATACAGTAATGTATGTGCAGTAGAACTTTGCATAAATGTCCACAAGGGCGCAGCAGGGTTAAGTAGAGCAGATCATTTAAGCAGAGTGCAGCATGAGTCCTGTTCCCTATTCTCTGACTTGTGAGTTAACTCCACATGAGCTGAGTGCAGGTCATGATAAGGCAGTGAGCAGTGTGAGCTGGAGCCTAAACAGACAATGGTGGCTCAGCTCTTCTGAGGACCGGACACTGCGAATCTGGACCCACAAAAGCCCAGAACCTGCTGTTGTGATGGTAAATGTGTATTGCAGAATCTCATAAACTATCTTATCCTGTTGTCGTTTCAGCCCCATTCTTAATTCTATTTCATCCCTCCTGACCGCCAGAGGGTAGCACTGAATGCTCTGCCCTCTGGTGGTCAAGAAGGATTCAGAAAACCTATGAATGTTTTATAGTAATTTAATTAGAAAAACTGAAATAAGAACTCAAATCAAGAGCTGTGTCGGGATAATACTTTCAAATTGTATTTAGTTAAAGAAAACTGCATACCTGCACTAACATGTATGTTGTAAGGAGTACAAGGAGGAGTCTTTACCTTGCATGGTCAAGAATAGTGCATTCTAAATAGTTTTAATTATCATCATTCTTTGTTTAAAATGGTAAAAGACACCCCCAATAAATCAAAAAATAAAATATAATATTTTTATGAAATAGCCTACCCTTGAAGCCTGTATATTTACCTTTGTATTCTGAATACCGCCAAAATAAAAGGTTACTCAAAAACAGTATTCTCAATGTACTGTTCTGTTACTGCTATCATGTTATGACCAAACCTAATATTTGTAAACTATAGTATTCCTTTTTGGTCTGCAGGGTAACAGTGTCTTCATCAAACCAATCCGGCATGCGCAATTTTATTACCTGGACAAATTCATCCTGGTGGCATCAGGACCCATGCTTAATATGTATCTGTATGACATTGACACGAATCGGGATGATATCAAAAGGCAAGTTTACTCGAGTTTTACTGCACTGAGTAGTTTTTTTACAGGTTTAAATCAATCTTTATCTGCATATTGTAATTTAAATTGACAGAGTTTGACTTGTGTGGCATTTCTCCTTGAGCCTCAGTTTACTTTGACAACTATAAAACGTGCATGATGCTATAATCTTGTATTTATTGGAAGATAATGTCCTCCTTTGCTATAGGTATCAACAGAAAAGTGCTATCAAGTTGGCACAATCGTTATCCATCTCAGCAAATGAGATTACTGATTTCTCTTCAATCAATGATTTTGTAACTTGTATCCTTTAATGATCATGCTGCAGAAAGTGTTTAACTGTGCTTTTGGTGTTCCGTGTCCTGCAGACTCACTTCCTTTTGCCGACTTCCAATGTTAATTTTGTGTCTCGTTAAAAGCTTGCATTCCAATCTGTTGTTAGTTTACCTTGCATTCTCTTGTAACAACTCTGCACATGTGTAGCAGGGCAATCAAGCTCTGCGTTACGTCAATATTACATGGATTTACGCAGGGTGAAAAAACATCAATATTGAAGATCATTGTAAGCTTATGTAACAATATAAAAAACATAGAAAACATGAATAAAAAACATGATAGTAATGCATCAGTTTTTCCATCTAGCTGCTAGATGGAAAAACTGATGCATTACTATCAGATTCTAGCACTTCTTGGACACTGAAAGAGGCTTCACATGTATACTCATTAACTACTATAGCCACAGCTGTCCTTGGGCACACTGACAGAAGCGGGGCAACCAGCTCCTCCGACCACTACTAACCATTTATACACACACCAGACTCATTCTAGGAAAAGTGGGTGGGATGTCTTGCCTAATGACACAGCAACAGTTTGGCACTTTATAAAAGCAACTGCCCCACTGTGGCACCTGGTGTTTCCTAGAGGTCTCCCATCACAGCACTACCTGGGCCCTAGGCCTGTCCTGATTAGTTTCGGAGGTCTGACAGGATCTGGCTAAACTAAAGTACTAAGTGATATCATTTAATTTTAAAATAATGTTAATAATAAATAAACCACTTATTAAACAGTAATAATGTTGTAATACACACAAATTACAAAAAAATAACTTTTTCTACACATGTGGTGTCTGTGTTTCCAATGCCTTGTATCAGATATTGTCTTGGTGTGTGGATCAGATCGCTCCATCCAGGTTTTTGACATGAACAGAGGTGCTGTTGCTGCACAGTTTCCTGATGCCCACAGTCGAGCAGTTCACTGTATTACACAGAACAAGGTATGTATCTTTATTCTGTTAATATGTGTTTTTTATTTGCCTTTTATCATGATTATTTTAGCATTGTATGGTAATGGTAAACCTGTTTGCAAGAAAGACTTGTAAATGGCAAAATCTTTAGCGTTATATATCTGACAATTTTGAAGGTTGCATAAGGAACTGTTCATCTTTGAGAGAATAAATGAGTTTGTGGCGTGAATGAAGAAGGTCATGGTTATAATAACATCTGTCCAGATGTTTTTCTGACAGACAGACAGGTTTTGTCATAACCAGTATCATTCATGCTGAATGTTTGAATGTGGATCTTCACCGCTGTGGATTATTAGTGCCACAATATGGCAGGGGGAGATTACACACAGGACCTTGGACTAATGCTGCTCCATAAGTCTTTTGGATTTCTGTGGCCCCAGTCCCTCGTCAGTGTCTCATGTGCACCCAATTTTCAGATGGTTTAAGCTGAAACAAGAGAAATATGCAATTCTTCTCACAATCCGAAATGTAATCAGATAAAGTTCTCAGAAGTGTACATAAGGGTTCTCACCAGGATTTATTTACAATCCATAGGGCCAGTTTATTGGACTCACCAAAAATGCTTTGCTTTTCAATCGTCACGGCTTGATGCTACAGAATGACAAATTGATATTTGGTCATTTAGAAATATAAACTTACACATGCCTCAGCCTGGTGAGGTCAGGTGGGTCAGACAGGAGCACGAGCCCGTTTTATATTGGCCATAGTGATGTGGGGGAGCATGCATCACCCACAACACCTTAGTTTCATCACACCACAGGACAACTCTCTAATAATTGTACCTTCCAACATGGACTTGCATGTTTACACTACTGACTTTATAGAATATTTTACCTCAGGCAGTAAAAATTATATCTTTTTATGCCTCCCAACTTCAACTGCATCAACAATATGTCGCATATGTCGCTGAAAATATTTTGACCCCAATATTTTGCAGATCACTGCTGAAGCATCAACTGATAGGATGACATTATTGTTTTTGTGTCACATCACGTTCTGTATTTTTTATTTTATTTCCTTCATTTTGTAAAGTATATTGAAAAGAAGAAATGTGTGTCCTGAGGTATCCTGACACGTGGACTTTATTCTTTGTTCACCCTTGACAGTCACAGCGGCCTGGATTAGCTGTACTTGCATTGCCACTAGTGGCAGGAATTACAGGTGTTAACCTTCATAGCTCCAAAGCACACTTTCACCCAGCAGCTGGGGAGAATGCCCTTTGTTGTGCCAGCTTTTGTGTGCACACTTGCGCACTGCCTGTGGAGTGTTGTTTCAGCTTCAGTATTACGTCAGAAGCAGGGGTCCTTAGGCTGGAAGCCCATGGGCATTTGTTTGGTTGAGGGTTAATGCCAAAGGATTAAGAGGACTGCCCCAGTGGCAGGACTACACAGTCTTCCCTCCCTTTACTCTCTCATTCCAAGGCAGACCAAACAGCCGAGCACGGCAAATGAAGCAGCTTTTCCCACTTCAAATTTCCATCGCCTCTCTGACAAAATTCACCTGGAACTCATCAGAACAGAGAACTTCTCGGAAAATGCCCTCTTAGAAGGCAGTTCTCACACTCCATAATGGAAACCTAAACAAAAAACAACGCAGTAGCTTCTCTGAAATACAAACTCAATTATCACATGCAGAGAAACCATATATGTGGCTTCAAACATATCATTGATAAAATGATTAACACAGTAGCTTTATGATATTTTTCAAAATCTCTTTCCCATATGTGCTGACTAAGCATGCTTGTTTTCTGTCTCTCTCACAGGGATCAATGTTCAGTGCTCAGGCTCATGATTCATACAACCTCTTCCTCACAAGTGCTGTCACAGATGGGATCAAGATCTGGGACCTTCGGACCCTGAGGTCTGTATAACCCTTTATTTCCAAGTCTATTTTATACTTTTAAATTAAAAAGTACTTTGTTCTATTATTGCTGAAACAGTACAACACAGTAAATAGCACCATCTTCATTAAACCTATTTTCTTTTTTATCTTTTCTTTTTATTGCAACATATATGCTGCTATATTGCATCATATATTTGCTCATGAACATGGAAAAAAATATGTTTTAGATTCCTTGAATTAGCTTCCATATTCAAGCTCTCTTTGGTTTAGATCCAGGTCCATTTCATCTGAGCTGCAAGGGTTGGAGGTGTGTGGAACCGATGCACTTGGTTTCTTAAAAACACAAACTTGTCCTCTGCACATGACCTATTCTCCAAGCAGTGGTCGCTATACAGTGTAGATGTTGCTCGACTTGGTCAGGACTACCTTAGCTGTAGGATTTGACCCACGGTGCATGTTTTGGGGCGGTGGGGGAAACTGGAATGCCTGGAGGGAACATGAAAACTCATAAAACCTGAACATATTTTTTTTTACTGACAAAGTATAAGTCTGTGTGTCTGCATTGAATAATTCACAGTTGTTGTTTTTCTCTCGATCAAAACACAATCCATAAATTGTATAAGTAAGTAATTATCATTAATGTAGTGCACTTTACATCCAGGTGCATTTTCCTTTCCACTCAACACACAGAAGTGATACTGCTGTACAGCTGGCACACTCAGAGCAAAAACATCGAATCTTATTGTTTTCGGTTGTAGGGGAAACCGGAGTACCACTGGAGGCAGTCTTGCTGAGAGACTGATTTTCCTCTAAATTGTGTGAATAATTAGCCAAATTTTATTATTGTGAAATGTGAGGGTCCGGCTTGACAATAACGGCTTAAGTGTTTTGCTGTTTTCCTCCGTGAAACAGTAGCCTTTTGAAACAACATTTGCAAAAGCTGAACCATAAATTGTTTTTATGACAGGGTATCCCCAATGTCGGCTCATATGAGCAGTGCAATAACTCAAGAGATTGGGTATAAGGCTTCCTAATGGCCGCCATTGAATATGACCTACTTTTACTCCAGCTAACGACATTACCATGTGGAAGATGTTGAAGATACAGTTTCACTGGATTCTGTTATTTTTAGGGTTTGCCAACTTGCCAGCTCATATTGAAGCTGTGGCTGATATGGTAGTGAAGATGTTACATGTTATTCCCCAACATCAAGACAGTTGCATAAGTTGTCAGACAATCATCCTAACTTCCTGAGTTGAATTGACTGCAATTGGATACCATATGGTTAGACTTTCCAAGATTTGTTGCAAAGTAGACATTTCTTTCTTCTGTTGAAAGATTAACTGCACCTCTAAAGAAAGTGTTGACATAAAAAAAAGCTCTACATACATCTCTACTTTTTCAGGTGTGTACGGAGATATGACAACCATTTAAATCGCTGCCATTCCTGCTCCTCAGCTATTTCCCCCTGTGGACGTTACATTGCAACAGGATCAGAAGACAACTGTGTACGTTTGTTGGATTACAATCATCTCACAGAATTATATATATTATACAGTATTATATGTGTATATTGTACCTTTCATTTTTAATATACTGTATACTGTATTTGAGTATTAGAATATTTTCTACTTATAGTTTATTTTTCTTAAATTTAAATTTGTGTTAAATCTTTTAGCAGCACTTGGTTCATATTTGACAGCATCTCTTTTGAGAACAGCGATTCTCGGAAGTTGAGATCATACAAAAAGAATGACACCACATATTTATTTGTAGCCCTTCTGAGATTTCTATAAGCCTGATGAATTTGTACTTGTCGCGCAATAATGGAAAAAGTAGCTGAGAAAACCTTCCGTATTACTTTCCAACCAGAACTAAGGCCAAAGTCAATCTAGGTTGAATTTTTCTGTGTTGGCGATATTATGCTGCTTTATATAAGTCCTATTCTCCCTGGAAAGTAATTGCCTAGAACAATAGATTAGATATGCATTATCTAATCTACATACAAAATTACTAACACCCCATATCTGTTTTAGTTCTACTGCTTAAATGTATTCAAAAGATGCTTAAAGTGGTTGTAGTAATGCCAATAGGAAAGACTGTTTTGGATATATTATTATAAAATGCGTTCTTTACATAACAGTGTCCCCTAGTCAGAAATGTATACTATTGTTAAAATGTTGCCTCACCTTTAATCTAAAATACTATGGTTATTAGATAGTATTATTAAAAGTATGTGTTGCTTTGTTCCCCAGGCCTATGTCTATGATGTTCGAAGCAGTAGCTACCTCCACAAACTTCACACAGAGTCTTCACCAGTGCTCAGTGTGGCCTTCAACCCTTCCACTCCAGAGGTAATGCAAAGCCATCATCACCAGACATTATTCTGCAGGCCTCATATTGCCCTGTGTCAGCATGATGCGAGTAAGCCCCAAACTACCGGGTTAATGGTATGAAACGTATTTGCTTTTTTCAGAATGGGAAACAACTGTGTGGCTTTTGGCATATGAATGTAACGTTCAGGATTTATTTATTATTTAATTTAAAAAAGTCTGTCAGTCTTGTGTGTGGGTTCACAAACAATGTGGTCAGTGTTATTTGCCAATCAGATAACGCATACTTCTCTTCCGTGGCACGTCACTGCGGCCTAACCAGACTCATACTGTACACTGTGCGGCCTCAGGCTTTTCCACAGTCAATCGTTGATCTTTCCACATTTTACAAAGAAAGAGAAAACAGACAAAATGGGTTATTAGAATTGTATTTATTGGTTGGCATAGTGATCTGTTATTGCAAGATATTGTACGCAAGAACCATGTTTTAAAAATATGAATGATCCAGCTTAAGTTTCACATGTTTAGAGATTATTTTTATTGACTTAACTTTGTACATCTTCAAAAGCTTCCACTGTGCGCCCCTTGAGATGTTTGTTGTCTGCTTTCTGGAATCAGTTTACATTTTAAATCATGACTATTCAGCAATACTTTACAGAACAGAGATACTTCCAGATGTCTCCATTTGAAAGTGGAACATTTGATTCATGACCATTTACTGATCTGTAGTCCAATGACACACTTGATCGGTGAGAGTATGCTGACGGCCCCACTGCTTTACGCTGTCTTCATTTAGTTAGAAACAAATACTGCATTTGCATGTTATTGACTGCCACATACTGATAATGAGCTGATGCTGACAGTGACATTTTTTTATCAACACAACAGTTTTGTGTTTGTTCATAGTAACGACATATAATATGTCTTTACTATGAACACACACAAAACTGTGTGTGTTCATATTGAATAATATTATTCGTATTTTATTCAGACTTGCATGTACTAGGCTGTTGTACTGTACATAACAACTGTTTGTATACCTCTTCACTATTGTCTGATTGTGGATTTGTATGCAACATCTTTTACAATCTTCAGTACAAATTTTTCGAAATGCTCTGTACTTCCTTCTAATGTGCCGTACTTGCTCAGAGTTCCATTTAGAGTGGTTTATGGTTTGTATTAATTTGCATCCATAGCTTTCCTGGCAAGCACACATTTTGTAGAACAATGACCGTCTGAACTCAAAATATATTTTCATTCCGTCTAAGGGGACCAACGTCTCTAAGGCTTCTAAACCTGTCCACATGTGTCACTTTTACTTTGTGCGGCCAAGTGCAGCTGGATGCGCTCTCTGGACCATGTTACAGTGTCTATTTTGTGGCCAGTTAGAAGCCCCATGTTCAAGTTTTTCTGTTCTCATCACTTGGCTCCACTGAATGTTCTGGTGGGCCAAACAGTAAACACACAGACAAACTGAGCAGTCTGCATGTCTTCAAACGTCACATTGCATAGAGACTCATGACAGCCTATGAACAAGATTAATATAAATTTACAATGAGCATCTTCCATGTTTCTTGGTTCAGCACTGAATGTCTTGGTGCATTGGCCTTCAGAAAGAATGTGTTCCAAAAATGACTGCTGATACCTGGAGCCAAGGGAGCATGCGGCTTTTGCTTTGAACTACTGATTTGTTATCTTTTCTCCTCATGGTCGGAGGACAGTTGGTTTGACAATAACTTAGATTATGTAACACATGTGACGCTTGGAGCAGTGATTTAAGACCTTCCTAAAAGTTTCACAATGAAACTTTCAAGTGTCAGGCTTTTAAAACTGGCCAACAAGGATTATGAAACCATGTGTTAAGACATTGACACTCTTCATTGCTTTATTTAAATTGAATAATAATAATGATAATAATTAAAACATGAATAGGAAATTTTGGCTCAGATAATACTTATGATGCGTTCTGTGTTATTTAACAATTATTTCAACACTAAAATGTGTGGTTGTTTTTTTAGCAATAATACATTAGTAGTTATTAATTGGTGGTGACAGCCTTGCATGTATGTCACATAGAGAAATCCGTTGCCAAACAAAGGTGAATACAGCAGTGAAGCCGCTTTTTGACCTTGAAAACTTTAAGTAGTGTTTTGACTTTTCAGTCTTTGTTAATTAAGGTCATGAAGATGAAGGTCATAGTGAAAATGAATTATACAGTGACAGAATCAACCTTCTCTATTCTTACCTTAAGAAATCTGCACAAGATTTGTCATAGTGTTTGGATGATGGAGGTTATTATTTGGCACTGCTTTTCCAATTTTAAATGAAACCAAATATATGTGACATGTAAGTATGTGTAAAACACACCCTCTTTATTTTCCGGAGACAGAAAACTCAGTGTTTACTTAAAATAAACTTGAACTTATCCCAAACCTAAACCAAACCGGCTTCTAGCAGTAGGTCTCTGATAGTGCATACTACTTGTGTCCTTGGGCAAGACGTATACAATTAGACACTATATTTCTGTAGAAATGTAAAACGTGTCGGTTTGATTGAAGGATGTTCAAAGGTATTGTAATTTACAATGTAATTTGAATCTGATAATTGTCCAATATTATGACTAAAATGTTTATCCAAATCAGTTAAGTCTGTTGAAAAGTCATCGAATAATGTTTATTTTAGAAAAGTAACATATGCCCATGAAAGCGAGGCCAAACAAGACACTCTTTGGATTGAACCAATCGTAACAATGAGCGAGTGAGATGACCTGTGCTGTTAGACACAGTGTATCATAACCTCTCTGATGCTTGGCTCAGAGAAGCAGGCATGTTATGCAACTAAAGTGTTTTTAAATAGATTCCTGACTCAGGGCTGGGAGTTGAATTCTTACTTCTTTTTTTTTGTCTCTTTCAGCTGCTCACAGGGACTCTCAATGGGACACTCCGGCTGTTTCAGCCCCACACCAGACAGGGTCTGTCTCCAAATACAAGTTCTGTTTCATAGGGAAATTACAATGGAGTGTATTGTAACATTATGTATGCGCTTATACTCAAAAGTACACATGTTACAACACGACCAGAATCTGAGTAGATCTTTGTTGAGTCATTCCTAAAAAGAAAATCCGAAAAGATTGCAGATGCATTCTGTTTGCCCAGATTATTTTAGACATTACAAAACTGTAAACAATAATTGATTCAGAAACATTCCTGGTACTCTTTTGTATTTGGGATGGAGAGCAGATGTATTTTAGACTTTTTATACTTGTGATGATGGCTACTTAGCAGCGCAGCTCTAAGGACTATGACATCAACTGGGTGCAACCACCACAGATCCCACATGCTCCTACTGTTAACATCAATACAACTGTCCAGGCGTTTCACAATAAAGAGACCTGTATTGCACCAGATAACTCGCTGTTACATGTAGGTTTTTAATGCATAAATATACGTAATTTTGCAAGTTCATTTGTAGTTGTGGGTGGTCCCTACAGGTCCTCAAGCTCTTATATACTACTGTTCTATGTACTGCTGTTCAGTGAGGGAATTATGTCATTTGTTCTTTTGCACATTTCTGACATAATAAATTGATGTTCTATGTTTGGTTTGCATTTGAACTATGCCACACCTATCAACCCTTGCGTAGCAACTTTCTTGCTATTTATTTACAGAAATTCTTGTTTGACACATCAATATGCTATTTGATAAAGGGTGCAGGCACAAATACACAATGGTCTGAAGCTATGTTTATACAATGCACAAATATCATCATTTTCAAGTATTAAATCTCAACACATTATTTATCTGTCTATTAATCCAAACTGGCTCAGTTATTCAAACATGATAAATACTCAAATCTTCACATTTAAGAACATTTTCTTCTGAACAGGCAGTTACGTTGTTCGGACAAAAACATATGTCTGTGAAACTATCATCACTCACCAGAAAACTGTTATGATGGGTATGATGGACCATTTGTTATTTTACTATTTTTGGAAGTTACTCATTGCTATAATAATTGTTCTATGTTTTTAGTAAATTGTCATAGAGTCTACCATTGAGTATAACATTGGTTACACTGGTTTACTATTATGTTTTTATAATTAAGTCATTTTGCCATTTTTGTATTTGTGATTTGCAGAGCCACACAGACAAATATCTGTATATGTATTGGCAGGAGACTCTGCCCTGTCAAGGTAAGCTTTAGTGTTCCTACAAGTGCTGCAGATTTTCTGGAACAAAGCATAAATTGTCTTTGTAGTGAATTTATGTGTCGGCCTTCCTCCTTTTATTTTAATGTTGTGGAATGTTTGTCTGCGTGCGGACCAAGGGATCATCCCTTGACTGGATTAACTCCCTAAAACTGAATCTGTAAACAAGAAACTTAACGTTTTAGCAGAACATTCCTCGTACGTGTGAGGTCAGACCTGGTATCTATTTATTACCAAAGATGTTATAAATGGTATATAGGCTCTATTTGTTTAGACCTATGAGAGCAGTAACAACCTTGATCATTTGTGGATATTGTAAGTGTAATTTTGAAACATCCACTAAAATAAACGTGGTTCTTGTAAATTTGGCACACCAAAATTGTAAATCACTTGTGTGTGAACTTACTAATGATATTTGATACCCATCCTTACTTGGATATGCAGTAGCATCAAAAAAGCTGATGAACGTTGTGACTTGTTAGCAAATATATATATACTGTATATATTTTTAGTTACTTTTCTGTTGTAACATCACTTCTCCAACGTCTGACTTGTGTACTCAGCTGTGCCTCAGCCTAAATTAGCTGAATTTTATACATGCAGTGATAATGTCGTGTATTAAAATGAATAGTGTTTTCTTCTTTAAAGCACAGCTCTATATGTCTGGAGTGAACTCAAGACCAATCAGCTACAACCAGCAATCAACTACAAAGTATAATATACAGTGTATTTGTTAGTGTTTGTTTTTTGTGGATAATATAGTACAAGTATATTCTGTCTTATCCTTTCCTTTTTCTCCATATCATTAACCTTCTCTTAAGGTCAGCCATGAGGAGCAGTAAGAAAAGGAGGCTGTTTTGAATTACTTTTTATCTTGCTAACAGCAGTTGCTAAGGAACATATGCCACAAACAGGACTTGTGGATTATTTCAGACTTCATTAACAATGTTTCAATTACATCAGAAGATCATATTTATATGATTATAAATAATGCAGATGAGAAGAGCAGTACTGAACCACACCCAAACATGACATAACAGCACAGAACAAGAGATGAACCAATAACTCCACAAAGGTCATCTAAGGAACCCTAAGAACGCCTGTGTCTCTGCAAAAGGCTGTATAACATGCTCTCTGTGTTCAGCAACATAAGATTTCCAATGACTTGTACTGAAAAGACAAACAAGAAGCCAGACTGATATATACTCGAGTAATGACTGCAATTGCTGAACATTTCCACTGGAGAACATAAAGCATTTGTATATTTCTGGGTAACCTTTTATAATACTGACATACTATCATTAATTGCTTATTCAAATATCAGATTCATGTTCCTACGATTATAGGGACCAACAGTGTACAAAATGAATTGGGACTAGCGGCATGACATCAATAACCTACTTAGTGATGTCTTGCCGCTAGTCCCAAATCCTTTTTTAATGAACTGCTAAATTTAATTCATATTCACTTTTGCTTCTTGTTGTATCAATTTTAGACATTGACAAGTATTTCTTGATATAAAGATATCAAGCAGCTACAGATTTGCAGAAGATTGTGTTATCCAGGAATAAACATTTGAGTTTCTAACCTCGTGCTGATAAATCAGCACAAGGACTTCAGGGAGGTATAGTAATATGGGGAAAACAGAAGCATATGAGAGGTGCCAAATCACAGGCCAAGTTTAAGAATGTGTCTAAACTTTGTTTTTTTTTTTTTTTTTTTTGATTTCCTGGCTCTCCTTGAACATTGCCACAATAGAGGAGGATTATTTTCCCCTTACAATTTGCAAACAAATTATCTAAGGAGTTGGTTTTAGTAACAATGTTGATATTGTAAAGAGGGTTTTGCCAAGTTAGTTTATCTTCTTGATAAACCATCAGGGATTTGTGCAATGGTTGTTATAGTTATTCTTCTAACCCACAAGCCCTATATTGCATGCACACACGTACTGCCCTGCTATTAGCAAATACCTTCATTTTCATGACCAAATTACGAGGTAATTTTATGTTTTCCTCCCCAATCACGTTAAAGTAAGCTAGTGGATTAGTTCATATGCCAACAGAAGGCATGTGTAACCTATTTACTTTACCACTTGGATAAGGACATCTTACATGAAGATTTTTCTGAAGGATTCACATTAGACATATAACTATTAAGCAGAGTGACTTAGAAGAATTTGGCAGAATTTGGAAGCTGCATCAAAGCAAGTGTATATCATCTGACACAGCTGTAAGTCAAAGCTCATTTTCAGCCCATCTTGTTGCCAACTAACCATGGCTGTCACCTGCCGAGATAACTTAAATTTGCAGAATAAGTTCAAGTGATTTTGTTGCTTTGTTACATGTCCAGCCAAGATTTCTTATCCTGAAATGAACCAAGGAAAATTTCTTGAAATTGAATATGTGAGATGCACAGACTATTGGAGGGAGCGAAGAGACGAGTGTAATTCCTTCAACTCAGCGGCATCAGTCTAATTTGGGCTGAGTGCATAGGAACTTAAGAATACAGACAGAAGTGGGGTGCCAGCTGTAAAACCTGGATTTAATAATGAGCAGGAAATTCTCAGTGGAACATTTGGAATTCTTTAGACTATTTTTCAGCGTTATAGGTCAATGGTTCCCAACCTTTTTGTCTTTAGCATCATTTAACCATCTGCACACCATACTACCGGATTCAGGGCCCAATGGGTTTGAGGGGGTGGGGCCTGTTATGCAATTATTGTCAGCAACAGTTTATGCTCTATATGTCTGTAAGGGCAACTTTGGTGGCAGCACTGATGCGTCAGCGACTTGATGTAATTGAAAACTCTTGTAATAATTATTATAATGCATTTATCACTTTTCAAAGTGGTAAGCGAGGCAACCTGTATGTGCCATCGGCCCCTCCGACCATCTCCAGCCATTCACACACACACACCAGACTAACTCTAGGTAATGTGGGTGAAGTGCCTTGCCTAAAGACTCATTGACCGAGTAGCTCTTTATTGCTGCAGCCGCCCCACTGTGGCACCCATCGCAGTACTAACCAGGCCCTGCACTGCTTAACTAAAACTCTTAAACTAAGCACTGAGGACAACATGATGGATATGTGTACCTCGGTTACATATGCATCACTTCTGTGGCCTTTACAGCAGGGGCAGGATTTTATATAACACATGTGTTAGGCTTAGGGTTATTTTCATCTGGAATGATAGTGCATACTGTACAGAAATGTGTGGTGCTTGGTACAGGAGTGTCAAACATAATAGAGAATCTGTGGTTGAGAGGTCCTACTCTGTACCAGAACAGAACAATAGATCTGATTGAAAGTAATGAGAATGAGAAAATATACTTATGTCTGAGTCCTGATCGGGAGGTAACGTCTTTATCAGCAAATATTTAAAATACGTGAAGTTTGAAAGTTGATATGACATACAGAATAATCATGTTAGCCAAGAGCAGCAGCACCTTGTGTGCCCAGGGATCCAAGGCCAGGCTCCTCCTCTGCAGCTAAGGAAACTGACTCCACCAGGTCGCATTCATCCTTCCATCTCCTTCACTTCCTACTGTGCTCATTCTACTGCTCACAAAGTCAGGAAATCTGTGCCAAAATGACCAAAAGATTAAGCTCTGGTGAATTTGCCTCATTCATCTTTCTTGTCAGCCTATACTTCAAGTCCAAGCAGTTTTTGGAGAGTTGAGGAAACACATTATTAACTGTGTTGACAACTTTGTGGAAAACAAATTAAATATACTCTTAGCATATAATATTCTCTTTATATAATCTTTATTCTGGCGAAACATTTCATAATATCTTTGCACTCCCCTGTACACCTGGGGCGTGCTAGATACACTTTAGATACACTTTGTAAGCATGTTTACAACTCCTGCAGTCAGGATTTGGACAAAATCAACCCCAGCTCGATTACACCATTATGAAAAGCAGTGTTGCATAAAGTTGGCTATGTTAAGTCTTTCAATAAACAAAGGCATTTCAAGTGTTCCTCATAGCCCTCAACCCCACAGGCTGTAGACAGAGGTAGAAATAAACAATATGTTAGCCGTTATCTGTTACGTCGTTCCTCCATGAACATAATATCAAATGCTGTTTTTAATCTAAGATTGGGAGATCCTTTACTTGTACCACAGACATTTACAATTTACGTTTTTTTTTATCAATAACGCTTTGATATAACCATTAATATGAAATAAATATGAAAACATTAGAAGTATATTTTTACATTATTTTGATACTGTACAGATGTTATATGTGTGATATAAATGTATGTTGTGACAGTCAGGAGTTGCTGGTGCTACACAAAATTCTGCTCTCTTTATGGCCCAATAAATCACAGCCTGGGAAGTAGTGGATTTTACTTGGTTGAAATTTGTATTTATTTTTTTCCAGGACAGAAGGACGGCTCCCCACTGTGATGCATTATAATGATTAATGGGGTGTATAATCACATCCAATGTTCCAGGGTCTCTGCTTTGGAGGTGATGTATTGATGAGCTCATAAGGAAATGTTTGCTAAAGATGTCTTGCTGTAAATTATTTACTAACAAGGGGTATAGATTAAAGCACATATTGTTCTGTAGTGTTCAAAAGTCGAGGGGCGACAGTAGCTCAGTTGGTAGAGCATTGCCCTTAAGGCCAGAAGGTCGTGGGTTCAATTCCCACCTCTGCACCTTCTCCATCGACTCCCACTGATGACTGCTGTCGTTGTGTCCTTGGGCAAGACACTTAACCCCACTTTGCCCAAAAAGCCCCCACTGAAAGATCAAGGCTATGCTCACACTTAGAGCAGCTGTCCTCCTGTGGACTCACCACCTGCAGAGGGTCAGTGAGGGGCTGGTGCTATGAGACTTGGGTGGCATCTCTGATTGCCACCCCCCTGAAAGGGTAGAAAATGGATGGATGGATGGATGTTCAAAAGTCAGAATCAAGTTGTGGGTTTCATACTTCGTCAGACAGGGTCTTTCTGTGTGGAGTTGCATGTTTATCCCAGTGTCTGGGTGGGTTTCCTCTGGGCACTCCGGTTTCCCCCACCACCCAAAACATGCATCATACAGAGGTAAAATTGTGAAAAAATCATGATGGTATGGATTTGGTTTGGTCTGTGTACAATGTTATACACAGTCATGCAGTGTTTTATTTTGTTGTTATTATTTATATATTATTTTATTTTTGTTATATATATATATATATGACAGTCTTAGTTGTATTGTCTTGAATTTTAAAAAGGTGAATGTAAAAATGTCATTGAAATTGTACCCAATTCACTTCCTGGCTTTCATTCTTGTCCTGAATTTTGATTTGACTTGACTTAGGTTCCTGCCGCAGAATCAAGCGCTTGACAAATTAATAAATGAAGATCGATTAAAGTAGAATTGTCGCTCGGCAAACATAAATAATCTGGATCAAAGCTCACATGTGTTTAGTGCAGGGAGGCAGATGTGTGGTGACAGCGAAAAAGCAATATTATGACAGTGAAAATAACTACTTGACGGCTCTTGAAAAAAAGGGAAACACATCAAACCCTTTATTGTCAGTCCAAGCACCAATAAAAGTGTTCATAGGTTCTTCTTTAAATACAGATTCACTCTGCGACATATAGGTATGAGTAAATGCTTGACTTATTCTAATGTTGGTAATATTTTGTAAAGGTCTCGTGCGTGTCGCTTTGCCCTCTCTAAATTGAAGATTTTTTTTAACATAAATGATGCATGTTGTTTGTCCCAACAAAAGATTTTTTAAAGTGTTGTGGACAAATACTTTGAACTAAGATGGATCTTTTGTCTGTCTGAAAATGCTGATCTAAGGTGGTGTTCACACGGAGACGCTGCTACAGTAAAACGGTAGAGTAATTGCTTTGCCTAGTCTCCCTCTGAACGGGGCCGAAATCAACTTTTATTTGTTGAGTTTTTCAACATAAGGCAACACATAAAAAAATCCAATTAAAATCCCACTGGGAATTAAAAACAAACATCAACTAAAGGGTGATATGGGGCGAAAATGTTAAAAATAGCGTAAGAACCAAACGGATTTGAGAGCAAAGTAAGTTGGTTAGGATTTTATTATTGTGGTTTGAAAGTTTGTTACCACAGCTTTAAAACAACTACTACTACTTAAATGCTAAAATATCAGATCTTTGTTGTTGCCTTTTGTCTGTTCTTTCAGGTTTGCACAAATATCAGTCCATTCTGTCATACATTTGTTCTCCACATTTCTAGATATTAACTGGTGCAATGATTCTGCTTGTCATCCCATCTGGGAGATTATGCAAGGTTATTTTACTATGCCAGTCTTTCTAGCCAAATTAGTTTCATTGGCATTACTCAAAGTTTGGCATGATTACCAACCACAACTGAACTTTTTGAAGAAAATCCTAAAATTGTAAACACATCTTCAACCAAGTGTGTTTTTTTAAATGATTCCTTACCCCACTAAAGTGAATGTAACGTTTGCATATTAACCTAAGGCAGTGGTTACTTTGTATGTCCTGTGCCAGATTTCCTTTTGGGACTAAGCCGTAGAGTCACACTGAACCAATTTCTCAGTGAAAAACACATAAACCTCAGGCTGATGTCACGGCTTGGAGACAGAACTGGAAACTCAGTTGTTTATCAAACCAAACTGACATCCATCACTTTTCCTTAATACAAGAGACTGCATGTGCTGTTTCAAGGACTGTCTGAACTAAAGTGAAAAATCCCTTTTTAAACATTCACTGCTTGTCTGTTTGGGTCAAGTCAAATTGACACCAAATACTTCCTGTGACTATTGCTACTTACATTTGACATACAATACAAACAATACATACATAGTAGGGGTGGCACATACAAGAGTTTTTCAGATTTAGACTACTTTATCAATCCCCCAGGGGCAATTCATTTGAGCAGCATAGGGCATGAAAAATAAAAAAACGTTGAAGATGCATTTTAAAATGTTGTGTTATACAGAGGCTTTGTGTAACTTTGTTTGATAGAATAAACAGTACAATGTAGATAGCTGGGAAGGGTCTTCTTATTCAATTATTCAGAACAGATTTGGTTAGTGTTTGGTTACTGAATAACTTGGACTATAATTGTTGTCTGCTTGCTAACTCATTATTGTTCAGGCACAGTTTACTTCAAAACATCTGCTGCATTTACTCATTTTCCCCTGAAATGGCATATTTTCATTAGTCACAAACCAAGATGTTTCCAATTGTATACAATGGACTGCCCACATCCAGCTCCACAGGGCTCCCTGAACGAGATGTTGTATCAGCTATTCCTTTGGCTCAAGCTTGACGATCTCCAGACACAAGACAGAGCTTGCCAGTGCGATGGAGGCATCCAAAGTATATCTACTGTCCTACTTGTCATGTTCATCTTCTTTTTTCCACGTTGCAGTCATAGCTGAAATTCTGACATTAAACTTATTGTTATAGCTAGATCATCTTTGTCTAAATAACAACATCCTTGGGATACATCAACTTAGATTAGAGTTTGGAAAATCCTAAAATGAAGTTGTAAAGAAGCGTGTTTAGCTTCCAATTCCTATTACTACTCAAACTGAGTAAGTATAGGCCTATAAACTTACTTAGGATACCATTTCTAGTGCTTTTTTGTTTTCCTGTATATTTTTCTTTTTAATATACAATATACTGTGTGTGTTGGATATGTTCTTTTATATGAACCGTATTGTATTGTGTCCTTAATAAAGAATAATAATAAAAATAATAATAATAATACTGTTATCTTTTCCTGCAAATTATCTGAAGATGTCGGTATTTGCTTTGATATTTCTCTATTCAGTGTACTTTGACAGCTTTTTTGTGGTGCTTTTTGATTAGGTTAGTCGACATTATGGGCACAACCCTTTATGCCCGATTGATCAATTGGGCATTGTTTCAATCAAGCGAGATTTTATGTTTGACAGCCCTACTTGACAGCACTTCAACTGAAACTTGGATTATTGGAAGTCAATTAGATTCAATTCAATTCAATATATTTTATCGACTCCCACTGATGTCTGCTGTTGTTGTGTTGGAGCCATTGGTTCATAGGGGGTGGATGACCAATGTCCCTATGTCCTTATTGTTCTAATCTAGATCAACACCACTATCCTTAGAGCCTCCAGCTTCAGCATGGAACAACTCAAAAACACAGTATCCCCATTCTTAATCATAATAACAGTAATAATAATTGACCTATACACCATCCTCATTTACTTTAAGTCTGTCACCTCAACATTGTCCCAAATGCAGGCAATTGTATTTCCCTTTGAGTAATCCTACCCTCCTGTCTTCAACCAGAAACAGATTACCAGAGCTTGTCTCTTCAAGTGTTTAGTTAAACCCACAATTCCACATTCCGTCTGCTCCAGTAAAAGCCATCGGCTGCAGACACAGCGGTGGGGCATTGATGCTTGGAGGAGGGTCCCGCCCATCTCTTATACCTGCTGCATACCGATGAGATGAGCCCAGACGCGCGCTATCCTCCTTGGGGACGTTAATTATTATGTAATGTTCCTCTTCACAAACTGACTCCAACTAAAGTTTGAGTGGCAGGCGCGGTGCAGCCTCTGTGTGGAGCTATAAAGGCGGATAGAGACGAACGCGGCATTTGCTCCAGTGCGCGCAACACTGTCACTGTGGACTTTACGCACGGAGGACACGCGACTCTTCCATTTTTTTGGGGTCATTTTGTTGGATTTATTTGAGCAAGACAGATACGCGCTCTAGGTAAGTTCATGGGAAAAATACTATCCTTTCGTTTATCAAAATACATCTTTGTAAAAGCTGGGGTACCTGAATTTCAAACCAACAAAAAAAATCCTACTTTTACTTTCAAAACAGATTTCGAAATAGTGTATTTTCTCCCTCACGTCTTAAGATCAGTTTTTCAGACAGAAAAGTTATGGAAGAAGTTAAGCCTCACTCAACCAGTCATCACATGGCTGTTTCTTACATGTATGTGAAAGATAAAATGCTTTCTAAAGAGAAGCATGTTGTGGTCGAATGTATTCACAATATTTTCATTTTTCTGTTAGGACTAATAAAATGTATGATATATAAAAAAAATGGCAGGTACCCCAGTTTAAAGGCTACTACTGCTGATTATTCCAATGTTACTAATTACTTTTCCCACATTGCTCGCAACAGCCATACCAACTTTCTTTTGTGCCGTAGGAGATATGATACCCAGGAGTTTTGGCTTGCTGCTAATATCAATAAATCTCCTCCACGCATTAACTGAAGGTAAGTGAATATGTCTGCATAATGATGAAGTATTGTCTGTCGTTTTCTTTTTTTAAAAGGCAACTAATGATAAATAAATGAAGTCTCTTTACCAGTTCAAAGCCTAAATATGGTAGCATAGCATTGAGGCTAATATTGAAATCACATTAAAAGGCATGCATACTTTTATGGTGACCCTGACTGGAAAAATACAAAACAAAAGATTCAGTCCAGGCAGTCCGTCTTTTGTCGATTAATCGTTTGATAATTTCTTAGTCGACCAAAAAATGCATTAGTCAGCTTATTACTTCACTTAAATTACAAGAATTTACGTGAAAAAAAGCAAACATGGAAGCTAAAGCCATGGAGAAATTTAGCTGAAGGTTGCTGTATTTACTTTAACAATAGGTGGATCAATCTCTCCATTCACAATACTTTTTATTAACAATTTTCAACTTTTAAGTTTAGGTCAAAAACAGAATTCATAATTTTCCATTTCCTACAGTGCCTCTTTGTTTGTCAACCAACATTGTCTATGGTTAACTTCAGCGCTATAGAAAAATCATATGCTCACAAAATTCCTTAACGAAAATGCCTTTCTATCTTCTCTCGGCTGTGAAGATGGCGAGCAGGAGGACGAGACACTATTCGACTTATTTGAGATCAGCAACATCTCACGCAAGACACTGGGGGCCAAACAGTTCAAGGGCCCAAACTCAGATGCCCCTGCTTATCGCTTCCTCCGCTTCGACCACCTGCCCCCCGTGAGCCCGCCCATACTCAAACAGATCCTGCAGCAAATCCAAATAAACGAGGGCTTCATATTTGTGGCCAGCATCCGACAGGACCGAGGCTCTAGGGGCACCCTGATCGGCTTGGAGGCCCCCAATGGCAGGAGACAGTTTGAGATCGTATCCAACGGACGTGCCAACACTCTGGACTTAGTGTATTGGGTGGATGGCTTCCAAAATGTTGTTTCCTTTGAGGATGTAGACTTGTCAGACTCCCAGTGGAAGAACATAACGCTTCAAATTCACGGGGAAAATGCCAACTTGTTTGTGGGCTGCAACCTCATCGACAGTTTTATTTTGGACGATCCGTTTTACGAGCATCTCCGAGCAGAAGGAAGCCGGTTGTACGTGGCCAAAGGGTCCATCCGGGAGAACCACTTCAGGGTAAGAGAAAAGACAGACTTTATAGGACGCTGTTAATTTGTTTAGCTTTGTGTTGTTTGAAAGAAGTGTCTTTTAAGAGCACCAGTGTTTGTCACCTATTATAAGTTACAGCAGCATGTGGTTTTACTAGCAGCTGGTTTTAAGCGAGAAGACTTTGGAGGGCGCCAGAGTGGATTAAGTTTTCTTGTTTCAATGTGGAGATTTGTCTAAATTAAGACTACTGCTACTGTGCAAGTGAAATTTACTGAGGACATAATAATCCAGCCAGTGGGATCAAGTTACACGATGTGGGCCTGAAAATATAAGGTTGTTTACGGACTAATATATTGGTCAATATTTAGGAAACAGAAAGACAGCATGAATGAGTTATATGTGTGATGAGAGGAGATATTTTACTTACAGGCATGAGCTACTGTTTTCTATGAAGAGACTATATACATATTTTCCGTTCCTTTTCTCCCCACTTTTAAAGCTGGTCAATTGTTTTTTTTTTCAAGTGGCTTTAAACCAAGTAGTGGTAGTATATTTGTAGTAATAGCAAAGCTTATTAAGTACTTACCCCTTTTACAGGGTCTTCTCCAAAATGTGCATTTCATCTTCGACACTCCAGTGGAAGACGTGCTCCTGACCAGGGACTGTGAAGTCACCAAGCCAGGTACCAGTGCTTATGTTAGCTCCATATTTTTCCATAAGTCACCCCTGGACATTTTCTGTTTGACTCTTTGGAGTTCATGTTTCAAAAACATTTTAACTTGCAAGTCTGAAAAGTAGGGAAATGTTAAAGCCATTTGAAATTAATATGATCAGATGTGTTGATCAGCTTCACGTTTTATTTTACTGATCTTCTCTTCTTTCTTTCTAAAGTAGGTCAAAAAGCATACGCACTTGATATGAAGTGTGATTTCTACAAACTATTACCTCATGTTTATGGAAACTTCAGTGTGAACGGAATGGCTCGAGTATGAACTTTGTGCATAGTGAACAAAAAGAGTTACAAATGCGTCCATTTCAGCTGGAGCTGGACACAGAATAATGCCCTGGGAATGAAAATAGAAAATAGTAAGTCAATTCAATAGTGCAGACCGGAGCTTCCACGTCCAGCAGCACACTCCAACTGTGAGGTCATGAAAATGCCTAAAGGGCTGATTTTCTCAGGAAGAGAAACTCTACTCTGGACAATTCGGTACAGTTCACATCAGGAAGAGCAAACAATAAGAAATAGAAGATGGGAATATGGAACCTCCAAAAATACATCATATGAGACAATTTGCAACCATATATGGGCACAACTGTAACAGTTTATTACCACAAGAATAGTTTTATTTCTTTGACAAAAGTCATCTTATCCTGAGAGCCTTCTCCCTGTTGGCTTTGAGGTTTTGCAGTGGTAGCACATTGTATGCCAGGAGTCAGTCATAAACCCACAAAAGCCACACTCATAAAAGCTGTCATGTTGGACATTAATGAGCAGCATTAAACCTACTCAAGCTGTTGCTCTTTCTCTCAAGTCTTCCCTCGATCTAAAAGTGTTTATCTGGAGTAAAGGATGTGTAAATGCTTTTGCAGACAAGTGAGAAGAACGCATGGCGGCACGGTGGCTGAGTGGATAGCACTCTCGCCTCTCAGCAAGAAGGTCCTGGGTTCGAATCCCGGTCGGACCAGGGCCTTTCTGAGTGGAGTTTGCATGTTCTCCCCGTGTCTGCGTAGGTTTCCTCCGGGTACTCCGGTTTCCCCTACCACTAAAAATATGTCCAATAGTTCTGGCATGTGCCTCCTGTACTGGCCCCGCTCCCATCTCTGTGTGGAGTGAGAGACAAATGCCCATAATTAACAATTGTAAACCACTTTGAGACTCAGATCTGCAGTGAAAAGGCGGTATATAAATAAAAACTTACTTACTTACTACTTACTATGCGCACATGCAATCCCAACATGACACTCCTTTGGGATTTGGATGAATCCAGCAGATTGAAAGAGAAAGAAAAAAGTAGAAGACATCAGGGGGACACCAGTCGACAATGCAGACAACTGTTTGATTTAGAGTCCCAAGCCGGCCGTAAATCACCACCAATTTACATAGCAACATACAAAGCGGTTGTAAAAATGCACCGAGATTTGGATGAATGACAGAAATTCCTCATTGCTATAATCTGTGTATTTACTTTTGGGGATCATGTATCCTGCCAAATCAGTGGTTTCATAAAGACATCGTAGGAGATGTCTGACTTTATATTGATTGAATAAATACATGCCTATATTGCTGCGAGCGGCTTTGTTCCTGTTCATGTTTCAATAACGTCCCAGATGTCAGGCGCATTAGTCTTATACTTTCTGCTCATGTTCAATATCAGTAAATGTATAAGATTGGAGTTGAGTTTCTTCACTGCACATGGCTGTGTTAAGTTCCAGTGTTATGGATTCTTGAAGGTCATCTCAGTCCATTAAGTTTGTATTGGAAAAGGTTGAGAATGATTTGAAAGGTCACAAGAAAGATTTATAACTCCATGTTTTTGTCATCACTGAGACATACATACAGATGTTTGTTTTGAGTTCAGTGGTGCATCCAACAGAAAGAAAGTAAATTCTGTAACTAAACATTGTTGCCTTCAACATCTGATTTGCGGTAAACCATAAACAATGTGATCATTGTTGTGGGATCTGATACCTGGTAAAAGAAAGACAATTACTTATTTTATTTTCGTTATATATTTACAATTAGACATTTGTCTTGATGACTTGTACATTTGTGTGTGTTTTGTTCTCGCAGATGATGCTAACATTGTCAGTGAGAGCACTGAGATTGTAGATGTGAGTCCCTCCATCACCACAAACATTATTGGTCCAAAACCGGTGGACTCTGGGGCGGAGATGTGTGAACGCTCCTGCGAAGAGCTCAGCACCATGTTCCAGGAGCTCAAAGGCCTCCGAGCAGTAGTCAGCAACCTCATCGATGGCCTGCAGAAAGTAGTGAGTGTTTTACATTTGACTTGATCTGAATTCAAGTAGAAGGAATTGAGAAAAAACAGGAGACAATGCAGTTTTATAAACACTATAAAAGTCCTCAGTGCATAGCCAGAAGCTCGAGGGTTTGGAATGAGGTAAATGGGTTCCTGCAGTACTTTGGGCTCTTCAGTGTTTGGATGTTGAACTGGTTTAACTCTGGTGATTCTGAAGCAGACAGACTTTATGACATGTTACATGTGGATAGAGGAAGTGCTCCCCTGGCAGTGAGTCCGCTCTAGTGTTTGGCTGTGTTTAACCAGCCATGTGTTTCCTCTGGGATCCTCCCTGGAGCTCTGGGCATGAACCTTTGGGAGAAACGCTTTGGTTGAGAAGGGTCCCTGAGGCTCTTGCAGACCGAGTGGTGTCTCTGATCCCAGCCCTGCTTTCACTGCTTTTGGCTTTTTCCAAACATCAAACACACATAACACGCACATGCACCGAAGCTTATCAGCTGACAATTGTCAAGAGTTCAGCCAAGTATCCATAACCTTCGAATTGTTCTGAAGGCTTCAGTGTCATTTTTCACTTTTCTCCACTGATCACACTTGGAGATCATAACTCTAATGTGTGTTAATGCACACCACATTTCTTTGGTATTTCTCTTCGTTTTAAGTAATTGGTGTGTACTTTCTATATCTAATAAAGGGCAATTTTTTTTCTAGTTCATTAAACTGAGCTTTGATCATATTTTCCACATAAGGAGTGGTTAAAGTAATGGTATTTTTATTGTGGTATTTGCACATAACTTCAATTAGGTTGTTGAAATCAGTTTGAAACACTAACTCACTTGTGAATGAACTTGCAATGTACCCTTTATGAAATTTTCTTTGAACTAAGTTATTTCAAATGAACACATTTTCCTGTATATAATAAAACTGTACTTTAGAATCGGGTCATGTGTGTCTCAGCCAGTGTTTTTCTGTGTCTTTACCTTGAGCCGGCGCTGCTCTCTGGTGACTGATCTCCAAATGTTTCAGACGGAGGAGAACTCAGTCATGAAAGACGCTCTGGGGATGATGAAGAACACTAAAGAGAAAAACATGTGCTGGCAGGACGGACGCCTGTTTGATGATAAGGAGGAATGGGTTGTAGACAGTTGCACCAAATGTAGCTGCCAGGTAAAAATCTGCAAATGGAAAATTGTTTGTTTGTGACCAATTTTACATCTTTTGAATCATCACAGGAATCCAAAATAGTTTGTCACCAAATCACCTGTCCTCCAGTGGCTTGTGCTAGTCCATTGTTTATGGATGGAGAGTGCTGCCCTGTGTGTGCCTGTAAGTAATACATATTTACACATGAACTTGTCATAGCATTTAATATTGAAACTGTTCATCACAACAAAACAAACAATTGTTGGTTTCAATCATAAATAACTGGAGCTGCCAGTTTGTGGTTGAAACTGCGGCACATAGAAAATTTAGACCACAACATGCTGTCGTCATTTGATTAGAATATGTGAGTCACTATTCGACACTTGGGCTGAGAGGCCAAAAATAGTTGCACATGCAAACTAGAAATAGAACCAAAATGTTTGAGAGTGCAATTTTTTTTAGATGGATTATATTTCATAGTTACCTTTTTGTGAATTGAAAGTGGGTGATTCTAACTTTAATAAGGATCTCATTCAGTTTCATATAGATTCCTGTCTTTCTTTAGTAATGCCTTCTTGGTTGTTCATATACTATCCTTTGGTAAATCTTTTTTTTATTTTTATTTTTTTATTGAGTTTTTAACATCCAGTGAAGTACATATACAGTAGTTACATTCAAAGAAAACATAGATTATACAAACTCCTGTACGCTAGCATTGTGGGGAGGAGATGGATGGGGAGGGGATTCAGAGTTGCATAAGAATGGTGTGTGTGTGTGTGTGTGTGTGCGTGTGCGTGTGCGTGCGCGTGCGATATGGTTAAATAAAAAGAAAATGAAGTAAAGCAGAGATGTACTGTACATCTGGTCCTGCCGCCGGTACCACCACTCACAAAGGATCTGAACAGTCCTGGGAGGGACGTGATATACATACATATTATGAGGGGTGTGCTGTTGAGGTTCTAGGATGCGTAGTGTCTTGACTGATGCATTAGAAAATCAAGCGGGGTGGCACAAAAAAGTGTTCCCTCTGGCAACCATCCCCGCAGGTGTGTATGTTTGTGTGTTTTTTGTTTCTCCCAATTATTATTATTGTTATTATTATTATTATGTTAACGTGATTGTGAAATGTATACCCCAATTAAATATTCGTAGTGCTGGTATCGGCAGAGGCAGTCAACAAACCAGGTTTTGAAATAAAAATAAATAAAAATAAGATAGAAAAAGCAATGAAATGTTGTTGTGGGCATGGATAGTAAATGACTCAAAATGATACAACGTCTCAGAGTCATTTTGTTAGTTTATGTGTAAGTTTATGTTTGTATGTGTTTGTGTATGTGCATGTTTATGTTTTTGTGAGTTCGTGTTTGTGTGAGTTCATGTTTGTATGAGTTTGTGTATGAGTTTGTGTGTGAGTTCATGTTTGTGTGAGTTTGTGTGTGAGTTCATGTTTGTGTGAGTTTGTGTGTGTGAGTTCATGTTTGTGTGAGTTCATGTTTGTGTGAGTTTGTGTGTGTGTGAGTTCATGTTTGTGTGAGTTCATGTTTGTGTGAGTTTGTGTGTGTGAGTTCATGTTTGTGTGAGTTCATGTTTGTATGAGTTTGTGTGTGAGTTCATGTTTGTGTGAGTTTGTGTGTGAGTTCATGTTTGTGTGAGTTTGTGTGTAAGTTCATGTTTGTGTGAGTTTGTGTGTGAGTTCATGTTTGTGTGAGTTTGTGTGAGTGAGTTCATGTTTGTGTGAGTTTGGGTGTGAGTTCATGTTTGTGTGAGTTTGGGTGTGAGTTCATGTTTGTGTGAGTTCATGTTTGTGTGAGTCCATGTTTGTGTGAGTTCATGTTTGTGTGAGTTCATGTTTGTGTGAGTTCATGTTTGTGTGCGTGAGTTCATGTTTGTGTGCGTGAGTTCATGTTTGTGTGCGTGAGTTCATGTTTGTGTGCGTGAGTTCATGTTTGTGTGCGTGAGTCCATGTTTGTGTGTGTGAGTTCATGTTTGTGTGAGTTTATGTATGTGTGTGTGCGTGTGCTGCAGTTGTTTGGAGTTAATCAGGATGTATTTGGTGGTAGAGGGCAGCGGCAGAGAGAGAGAAAGAGTGGCTTGTGTTGGTTTATCATTGTCATTAAGCTATTGTAAATGTTTTAGTAATATTCAAGTAGTTTATGAAGGGTTTCCAGGTTTCCGTGAGGGTCTGTTTGTCTCCATCATGATGAGCAGTAGAGAGTGAAGATGAATTGTGCTGAGAGAGAGAGTTAGTCCAGTGGTTGATAGTTATGGAGTTTTTGTAGGATTGTTTTCTTGGCGATAGTCGGAGATGTCAGTAGGCTGTTCTTGTGTTTTGGTGGGACTTGAAGTGTTGTGGTCAGACCGAGTATACAGAGCGTGGGGGGGGGGGGGGGGGACACTGCAGCCCAGGATGTCTGTGAGTTTGTGGGTTACGGTGATCCAGAATGTGAATGTTTTAAAATATTTGTGTTTTTTTTATGCACATACTGTATTCACAAGACTATGACACATTGTATATCTTGTGCTGTTGTAGCCTCAGACGGGGAGGACGGCTGGTCCATGTGGTCAGAGTGGACGGAGTGCACAGTGACATGTGGGACTGGGACGCAGCAGAGAGGCAGATCATGTGATGCCACCAGTAACCCCTGTCCCGGAGCATCCATCCAGACACGGAAATGCAGTTTAGGCAAATGTGACAGTCGTGGTAAGAAATGTGTGCTAACTGCTCCTGTATTACATTATCTTTGTCTTAGGAACAACAATTGAGTACAAACATGGTGACACTGGGGACTACTGCTGATGGATTGGAGATGACAGTTTCCATAGCTGAAGCAGGAATCTATTAAAATGAGGCCATCTGAGTTTGAATCCAAGTAAATGAAAGCCAGAAAACTAGGTTACAATAAAAGAAAAAAATCAAATAAAAGAAAGAGTTCATGGAGTGAGCATCTAGCAATGCCACAACAAATTAGTAATGTTGAAATTGTTCATGATTACTTTAAAGTGTGGGAAAGATTTTGATGGATGCCATGCAATTGTTAGATATTTGATACTTGGATTAGCCTTGAGAATGTTTGTTGTGGCCAGTTCTATTGTTTGAATTCTAACCACTGACTGCCCACAATGACAGACAGGTCCTCTACGGCAAATCCTTGAAATTGAGCCAGGAATATCGTAATGTTTAGAAGCACTGATTTGTGCCACAAATCTATGTCTCACTCAGTTTTTGAGACAAGACACAAGATTCAGAACAAGGCGAGATTTTAGACATAATATTTTGGTTGAGGCATAGCTCACATTTTTGGGCTGATTTTTAATGTAGTGTGTATATTTGTTTCTTATTTTTGTAGAACTCTTTATTGAATAGGTTCACCATAGTATACTGTAGGTGCTTACCAGCCTATTTTTTTCCTCAAAGGCAAATAATGGGTGTGCGTAACAGTAACAAATTGCCAAATTATTGCAGAAATGCAAGTTTCCATGGTGTCACTTGGCATTTGACATAAACATCTCACTGTAAACATAAAACAACAAGAAAAGCACCCACAGAGCGCACACTTCCTACCTACTGTAAAGGACCAGTTAAAAAAAATTTAAATCCTGAATCCCAAAGGTAATTCAGTTCACCGGATTCAAATCATTTTTGACAACACACACATTTCTTGAAAATTTCATCCAAATTCTCCCAAATTCTCCCAGATCCTCCCATCACTTGAGTTATAGGAAGATTTTTGAAAAACAAACAAACGCCGGTAATCACAGAGTCAATGTTAAAAGTGTTCCCAGAATTGATCTTCCTTCATCCACTGCTTCAGCTGTGTTTTAAACATAGATATTGAGGACATCATTTGAAATATGACTGTATTGTGTTCTGCAGTTCAACAGGATGGAGGATGGAGCTTATGGTCACCGTGGTCGTCTTGCTCAGTCACTTGTGGAGAGGGACAGATCACCAGAATTCGTCACTGCAATGCTCCGGTCCCACAGCTTGGGGGCAAGGACTGTGAGGGCAGCGGCCGAGAGACCCAGCGCTGCACGGCCAAACCATGTCCCAGTGAGTGTTTGAGGCCACAAGGAAACACGAGAAATACCCAACATTTAAGTGAAAACCCAGACGCCGTCATGCCTCGAGCTGCATTCCCATGTGTTTTTGGGGTGACCTCCTTTTCTGCGTTGTAGGAATTCTTGACCCAAAACAGACCGGTTCACTGTCACTGCAATGTTTGTTTTTGTCAATTGACTAGGTTAGCCATATTAGGTTAGCAAAATTCTTTATTGATCCACAGGGAAGAAGTGTACCAAGCTGTGTGCATGTACTATGGCAAGGAAATAGTTGTTTTTCTTTCTGGCCCTCATGGTTCCTGGTGAATTGTCCCACACTATAGTGAGAAGTACTTTTTGGAAGTGTCTGCTATTATAACCAAATGAATTATTATTAATTAGGGTTGTCAAAAGGAATACAATTCAGATAGTACAGCAAGTACCTATATGAAGTTTTATCATTCCTGAGCATTTCTATTTTGAACCATGAACTTGTCTATAAAACAAGAGTATGCCTGAGTACTTTTTGGATGTTTGCACCCTTTTTGTTTATGATTACCAAGTCTTAGCCAGGATAGCTGCAGCTCCTACTCCTTTAAATGAACCCTGGAGCTCTGTGCACTGGGTGCAGCTCTGACTGGATGGATGGATGGATGGATGGATTATCTTCATCAGTATTGATTATTCGAAATGTTAATATTGTGACAGCACTAGTGTGGATGCTCGAAAAATCCTTAGATAAAAGGAACTCAATATTTAGTCCTCAATGAAAAACATTAGAAACCCCTGGTATGTTTGTGTAAGCTCTCAGTCGTACAGGGATTAGTAACAACAAAGGAAGGTTGCTCACAAACCTTCCTTTATTTTATATCCCTGGTATATTGACCATTCATCTTTTTTAGTTGATGGAGATTGGGGTCCTTGGTCGCCATGGGCAACATGTTCAGCGACATGTGGGGGTGGGATCAAAAGCCGAACCCGCGAATGCAACAGCCCCGAGCCGCAATACGGAGGAAACAACTGCCTTGGACAAGACCACGACAGCGACAGCTGCAACAAGAAGGACTGCCCCATCAGTGAGTGATGTTCCCTGGCCTCTTTGTGGCTGTATCTTGATGAAAAGTTGTTAAAAATATTTGCTGGTACAGATGGATGTCTGTCAAACCCCTGCTTTGCCGGGGTGGAGTGTAACAGCGCCCCCGACGGGTCATGGAACTGTGGCCCGTGTCCTGCCGGTTATCGTGGAAATGGCACCCACTGTGAAGACATAGATGAGGTCAGTAGTAGCGCTTTATTTAAAATATGTTCTCATAGCCAAAGACACACAACTGCAATTGACTTTTGAAAAGAAAGATAGTCAGATACTTTATTGATCCCCATCGAAGAAATTCAGGAACAGCCCTTCAGGTCACAGCAGCCAAGGTGGAGTAGCCGCTGGGTGGAGCAGCATGGTCACAGCAGCAGAGGTGGAGAAGCCTCTGGGTGGAGCAGGATGGTTACAGCAGCAGAGGTGGAGAAGCCTCTGGGTGGAGCAGGATGGTTACAGCAGCAGAGGTGGAGTAGCCTCTGGGTGGAGCAGGATGGTTACAGCAGCAGAGGTGGAGTAGCCTCTGGGTGGAGCAGGACAGGTCACAAGGTGGAGTAGCCGCTTGTTTCGGACCATTTTCTCTGCTCTAGTCCAAAGTAAAATGCTGAATGGTTCATTAGCATTTTTCAAAAAGTCAGCATTCCTCCTGTGGATTTTCACCTGATCCGCTTGGTTTGAACCATGAATCCTCTCCGCTCCGGTCTGGGCCAGTGCAAAACCATGAACACTGTACTGCAGCAACACCTCAGGGAGAAAAAAGCAAGAAAAATAAAATGTATAAAGCACAAAACAACTGTTTCAGAGCTACTTAGGACCTGCTGCCGTTTTCCGGCGCAAAAGTAACAAAAGGCAAACAAAACAAAAGACAAAAACTAAAAACAAAAGAATTCACTTTGAATGTCAAATTCATGTATCTTATTTTGGGTTGCGCAATATATGAAAAATATATTGAAATAATGGAAAGTGCAATATTGACATTGCAAAAATGTGCAATAATCCTAAGCATTTGCCATTTTAGCTGCTAAAGCGAGGCCACAGACACGGGTACAGTGGCTTGAAAGAACAACACACAACATGAAGGGAGAAGAAACAAGCAAAAAAGAGAGCAGCCACTTCTTCCAAAGTTCTAGCATATACAGTATACTAAGTTTTTGAAGGGAAGGAAAATATTGCAAGTGTTATCGTTATCGTAGTCCTTCACACCACTCTCGCACTTGCACAGCCCGACTCCTAACTGCGCTTGTCTCTTCATAAACCTGACCCTACTTACGTTACTGTGGTCCATTCCTATAAGACACAATAAGCATTTGTTTAGATACATTAAGTAGGATTCTTGTCACAATCAAAGTGTTTCTGGTTTCTGATTATAGTATTGTAGAAAGCTAAGTGGTTATGTTTGTATTTTTCAGTGTTCCATGGTGTCAGATGTTTGTTATAAACTGGGTGGATCTCAGCGCTGCGTTAACACTGACCCAGGGTTCCACTGTCTGCCGTGTCCAACACGCTACAAAGGCACGCAGCCCTTCGGCATGGGGGTAGAGGACGCCAAGAAGAACAAGCAGGTATGCGCAAGACAAATATGCCCTCAATTATAAAAACACAGTAAAAAGAAAGGGTATTTTTCTTATGTAAGTGCTATGAACCGAGTTACTGTCTTGCAGATGTAGGCTTATGAGTGACTGCAACTGGATAGACATTGATTTATAGACTCCATTTGTTACTAGCCAAGCAGGAGGCCGTAGGTCACCATGTGCTTACACTATAAATGCATCTTGACCCGAGATCAGCAGGAAATTCATACTGAACACATGTTGCACATCTATTGAAAGATCTATGCTCTTCATCGCTTCTGTCAAAGATTGTCGGTCTGGGTTTGGTTGTAAGTTATAAATCTGTTACAACAAAAGTCTTTGATGTACTAAAACGGCACAGAGTAGAGTGGATACAATGTACGTAAGCATTATCAATTGTATTATGTAGATCAGTGGTCCCCAACCTTGTTGTGCCGTGGCACACCTATTTTATTGAAAACAATCCCATGACACACCACCAGCTGAAACTGCTTGAATCTCATTGAGATTACCAAAATCTTTTCAAAGGACTCTTGGAAACCCATTACTTTCACGAGCGTGAGTCATTCAAACAACGCAGCTTTCCATTGTAATGAATGAGCGGAGCAGCAGTTTGTGTGAGTGGTAACTCCGGCCTATTTTTAGGAACATGTTATTGTAGTTTTTAAACTGTAGTGTTTGGATTAAGATAATGACACCTGGATGGGAGATGGAACGTCTCTATACTGAAAACCTTCTTCATATCACTACTTTTGAAACTTGCTCTCCCATAGATCCCTCCTGGACAAATGAGGGATTACAGGGTTAAGCTCCGGCAAAGTTCAGTTGATTGTGCCGTAAAGAGAGGCAGCTGTGAATACCATTGGTTCTCTAAAAAGGCTCCAGCGGGTCATAATGGGACTATGATCTCTTATGTGGGATTTTGTAATATGAAGTGTTCCCATTACACAAGTGCCAAAATCTTTCCTGTGAACCAGCCTGAGAACAAGAGTTTATCTAGTTTGTACACTTACAATTAATGTTACAATTGTTTTCTGTTGTTTGTAGGTGTGTGAGCCAGAGGATCCGTGCAAAGATAAAACACACAACTGCCACCGATCTGCTGAATGCATTTACATCAGTCACTTCAGCGACCCCATGTACAAATGTGAGTGTAAGACCGGTTACGCGGGAGACGGCTTCATCTGTGGTGAGGACTCAGATCTGGACGGGTGGCCCAACCAGAACCTGGTCTGTGCTGCCAACGCCACATACCACTGCAAAAAGGTATGTCCACTCATCTAAGCTGAGCTCTTGAAATAACTGGGTTTATTGAGAAACATGCACTATTTGGCCCCATACTTTGTATTTAATTAAATGTTATTTAGTTTTCTGTTTTTCAAAAATTAGTAAAATTATAATCATTCAATAATTTGAACCTCATGTGTACCTTCAGATATGTTATGATGTGGTATTTGTCATTGTAATTGGCTCTGTATATTGTTGGGAAATACCAGAATCTGTTCACAATTTAATGTTGTCTGTGTATACATGACTTCTTGATCTAGATTTGCAAGCAAATAGTTTGTCAGTTAGTAACATCAGGCTAAATAATAAAGTGGCTACAGCAGCAGGGATATTCCCAGACTGATTACTTAGTAATTATTTTGATTGAGTTCTTCAAAGCAGTGTCACTTTTCCCTCATGGCAATAACAAAAACGACTTGTTTCAGTCTTTTTTGTCACTCCATGTTTTGTTTTTCTGTCTCCTTGGGTTATCTCAATGTTGACTTCATTATGATAATTGATTACACATTTCCCATGAACAGTGAATTTGTTGTGTCTTTTTCAAACCTCCAGATAAACTGCATGTAATCAATATTGTGTAATTGTAGGACAACTGCCCAAGTCTGCCTAACTCCGGACAGGAAGACTTTGACAAAGACGGTCAAGGTGACGCTTGTGACAAAGACGATGATAACGATGGGATTTTGGATGAGAGAGTAAGTCTTCACATTTTACATACATGTTACTTTAAATCACTGTCTCTTGTTTCCGGTTACAGGACAACTGCCCACTCCATTTCAACCCTCGTCAATTCGACTTTGATAAGGACGATGTAGGTGACAGATGTGATAACTGTCCCTATGAGCACAACCCTGACCAGATAGACACTGACCACAATGGAGAAGGAGATGCCTGTGCAGTGGACATAGACGGAGACGGTGAGATGGTCAAAACACAGCATGATCAAGCCTTTTTGAAATATTGTGGGTTTGCCAGGGCTGCACAATGTTGGCAAAATAAGTGTTTGCGATTATTCTGTCCAACATTGTGATAGTGGTTTTGAGATCCTATATACTGTATACAGCAACAACTTCAAGAATCGTTACATATATTTTACATAATACACCATTCCCACACGTTTCAGAAAAAAAAAACATTTATATAATTCATAGTAGTGTTTTTAACTTGATAAACATGTTTTTTTTATCTATCTATCTATTTATCTATCTATGTTTATTGTGCAATCTTAGTCCCTTTTTTTGTTTTCAAAGAAGTTAAATCATTTCAGATTTGAGATGTATTAATGACACCCACAATAGTTGCGATGGCGATTGGGTGAGGATGAATCGTGTAGCCCTAGTTTTGGAAGAAAACATTTGTACTTCAAGCCATCACTCAACACTTACAATTGTTGTTTGTTTTTTTACATAGAAATCCTTAATGAAAATGACAACTGCCCATACGTTTACAACACTGAACAAAAGGATACAGACTTGGATGGAGTTGGCGATCAATGTGATAACTGCCCACTGCTTCACAACCCAGACCAGGTACCAAATTATCTCACTTTACCCAAAGCTTGACAAGAAAGTCATAGATTCTCATTTCTTTTCTTTTTTCAACAGAATGATGTAGACAACGACCTGGTTGGAGACCAGTGCGACAATAACCAGGACATCGATGAAGATGGCCACCAGAATAACCTGGACAACTGCCCGTACGTGCCAAACGCGAACCAGGCCGACCACGACAAAGACGGGAAAGGAGACGCCTGTGACTATGACGACGATGATGATGGCATCCCAGACGACAGGGACAACTGCCGCCTCACGCCAAACCCAGACCAGATCGACGCCGATGGTGAGGCTCTGTGTGGCGTGAATGGATCATGTCAAATGTGTCACTAAAGCTGGGATACCTAACTTTTATGTTTCAACCAGAAACGGTTAGGGTTATTTTTAGTATAAGTTTAATGTATAAGTTTAACCATATGTGGTCTTCATCTTATGTGAAAATCTTCTTTTGCATACTTGTGAAAGAGCACTTTATTGTTTGATGCTTTGGGCTGAGCACTAAATTGCTGACTGAGTGTGGTTCTCTCTTTTTCACATTTCTGTCAGAAGAAAATGATCAAAAGATGTGGCCGCGGCCAGTAATACATGCATGTGGAAACTAGTGATGGAGCCAACGTGTTCTGAGAGAGAAAAACTAGTTGGACTGGTCTGTGAAATAGGCTAAATGAATAAGGCTGACTTCCTTACTGACTTTTTTTGGTTTGAAAGTTTGCTACCCCATTTTCAAGTTGATCTAATTAAAAAAAATGTCCCCTGGTTTGTGCGTTTACACAGTACTTTTCCACCCCCGCACTTTCCAGCCAATATACAATTAACAATTTTCATTTTATATTCTATGAAGAATATTAGTCTAGTTAAATCAGTAAATTTCCTTTGATATAGTTTGCTAACTTTTTATGCAGTGTGAGTCAGGCCTGCTGCTGCAGGTGCAGACTGTCATTAGGAAGGAAGCAGTAATAGATGACGACATCATGCATGACTTTTGGAATACTGTGAAGTTTCTTTGAAGTCTTGCTCTGGATTTAATGCACAAATCACCTTGAGAATTACCAATAGTTTGTACAACTGTTTGCAATTGGGAGCACACTGAAAATTAGCGCCGCTGGTAATTCACACTTTTACAGCTGCAGTGTTTATTTGCTGTCACTTTGCACAGCTGTACTATAGATGCCTCAAATGTGCTGGTGGTTGTGTGCCTGCAGCAAGTATTACTAAAGATTTCTTCTGCATTAGAGAGTGACTGACAGGAAAATCCACATAGAATTTCATTTGCTGAGATGAGTTGCTATTTTTTCCACTCATTTGGAGAATAACTTGAAAGCACTCCTTAACTGTGACTGCACTGGGAAACTCCTTAAAGATTTCCAGTCAATTGAAATAGATGGAAAATTCCCTAGTAGTTGATTCAAACCACATTGAAAGCTCTTGAGTCATTAGGCAAGCCATTTCACTAAGACTGGCAAACATTATACACATTATTGTTGTTTGTTTTGTCTGTGTCACAACTATTTTGAATGTAGAAGATTCAGAAGAGTTATGTGTATGAAACACTTTACTTAATCTTAATTTGCTTGTGCTAAATTATTAATCCGACATGTTTTGACACAGGGGATGGAAGAGGAGATGCCTGTAAAGATGACTTTGACAATGACAGCATCCCTGATATTCTCGATGTCTGTCCTGAAAACAATGGCATCAGTATCACAGACTTCAGAAAGTTCCAGATGGTTCACTTGGATCCTAAAGGCACCACGCAGATTGACCCCAACTGGGTGGTCCGACATCAGGGCAAAGAGCTGGTTCAAACAGCCAACTCGGACCCAGGCATCGCAGTGGGTAAGACTACAAACATGGATTCAAGGAGAGTTAATTATTTTCCCATACGTTCACACTTTTAAAATGTTTCATTTTTCAAGATTTTTTTTAGATTTTTGTTTATGACCTGGATTTTCACGAGTAAGACATTTCTGCAAAGTTATACAAAACGGTATCTTGAATTAAAGACATGTTATGCAAAATTGAACAAAGATACAGAATTGTTCCCTAACCAAAACAGACCTGGAGTTAGCTTAATCTATGAACTTCAAAAACGTCCCTCTCCTGTCCCTATCCTGGTACACTATGATGTATATTTATCTTCACACCATGTCAACAAAAGAATTGGCAAAAATAATCCACACTATTTCTTCTCAAAGACTTTGTCCATGGAATATAATTATTTTTTTATTGCTTGAAATGAGAAACAAGGTATTGTCAGCGTAAAATAAAATGGATTAATCAAGTGAATAAAAGTACATACATGTTTTTGTAGTGTCTTGTGTTTTGAAGAGTAAACAGAAACTGTAAAGACAAGGCAGTTTAGGTGGTGTCTGTCTGTACACATGTTTCCTATCAGTCCAGATAAAACTATCCTGGCTTGATCCTGCTCTAGTTCATTTAAGTTCCAGATCTGGATCCTTTTGAGTCCTGAATATTACAAATTCCTTTTTGATATAGGAATAATATTTTTAAAGGTTTAGTAGTTATCTTATGACGCTTTGGTTTCATCCTGTTCCTGTGCAAAGGTCAAGTAACGGATTGATTTAATGGATAGTTTAGTTGATGTGTTTCATAATCTAATCAGTCATGATAATACTCCCTTTTAATCATTTTCCTTTATATTTGCATTCCATGTTATAGCCCTTATATTTAAGTACAAATTAGTATAAATTGCATTGGAGACGTATGCTGACAAACAATTACACTGCATTTCCAAGTTTCTATTTCCCAGGTAATATCACAGAAAGAGTTCTCAGAAAATCAATAATTACCAATGAAAGTTCTCAAATTGTTTCTATGTGTTTATTTTATTTATTTAGACTTAAATTAAGATAAAAAATGATGTCAAAACCTCTACAGAAACTGTTCACAAGGAAAGGAACAGACATAGCCCGGCCGTAACCATCCGAACACTCCGCTCAATTAACATTTCACTTAGTACCAAATGAAATGAGTACGATGGTATGGAACAGACATGTTTGTAAGCAAAAATACTGCTGTTTACCTGTTAGAGGAGTTGATCACGGGAATGGATGTACAGATGAACTTAAACTATCATTGTGGATGACTGCATGATCTCATGAACTCGGAATGTTGATGTTTATACAGTTGCTTATGTAAATCCTATTGTATATATTCATTTAAACTGATGACACTGTAAAAAGGGTAGGCAAAATAAGCATTAGCTTCAGCCTACTCCTTTTCTGTCTTTTTTTCTGCTGTTTTTACTGCTCTGTAACATTGTGTAAAATTGACCGAAACAAACTTAATTCATCCATAAAGGATTAAGCACTCATATGCAGGCCCAGGACTCATAGCTAATAAGATAAATGTATTGTTGATGTAGCATACAAATGTCTCTATGTGCAGAGCCTCAAGCGTTATTTTGAGCGGCACGGTGGCTGAGTGGATAGCACTCTCGCCTCTCAGCAAGAAGGTCCTGGGTTCGAATCCCGGTCGGACCACGGCCTTTCTGAGTGGAGTTTGCATGTTCTCCCCGTGTCTGCGTAGGTTTCCTCCGGGTACTCCGGTTTCCCCTACCACTAAAAATATGTCCAATAGGTCTGGCATGCGCTTCCTGTACTGGCGACCCCGCTCCCATCTCTGTGTGGAGTGAGAGGACAAATGCCCTAAAAATAATAACAATTGTAAACCGCTTTGAGACTCAGATCTGCAGTGAAAAGGCGGTATATAAATAAAAACTTACTAATTTTTTCCATCTAAATTATAGATTGAGATATTGAGCATTATTGTAACAACCAATTCCTTATACTCTATATGTTGGTAGGTTTTGACGAGTTCAACGCGGTGGACTTCAGTGGCACCATGTACGTGAACACAGACAGGGACGATGACTATGCAGGCTTCGTGTTCAGTTACCAGTCGAGCGGGCGCTTTTACGTGGTCATGTGGAAGCAGATCACACAGACGTACTGGGAAGACAAGCCCTCCAAGGCCTTCGGCATCTCTGGGGTCTCGCTCAAAGTGGTCAACTCCACCACCGGCACCGGAGAGAACCTCCGCAACGCTTTGTGGCACACCGGCAACACTCCCGGACAGGTGATATGTGGCCTATCTCTGTTTCCATAACACAAGAAGAAATACTGATGAAAAGTATACTTAAACTAGAGCAGTGTTTTTTAATGTGTGTGATGGCTCGTTAGTGTGACCTTGTCGTTTGGTGTGCCTTTGGAAGTGATCCAACATCACCTCATTGGTCAAAATTATGTGAGAAGATTAGAAAGTATTTTTGAGCTTGATTTTGTATAGCATACATGATACATGAAGAATTGTTTGCAAAGGTTCCAGAGTTTCATTTTTGTATCTGTTTGGTGTGCTATATTTTTTTTATACACCGCGTTTTTACAGACCAGGGTCACCCAAAGCACTTTGCAATGTTGAGAGTTCAGATATTGTTCCATACTCTCCACATGGTGATGACGGAGGCGAGACGCCGAACACACTGGACCATCAAGCCTCCATCAACCCCATCAACACCGTTCATACCCTCACTCGTTACATTCAGACCTATGGTCCATGTTTTTAGTGGTAGGGGAAACCAGACCAGGATTCAAACCCTTTCCTGAGAAGCGAGAGTACTATCCACTCAGCCACTGTGTCGCCCCATGTGATTGTTTTCTATAAAAAGAAGTGTGCCATGGCTCAAATCGGTTTGGGATCAATGAACTAGAGCACAATTGTAATCACATTGAAACACTAAAAATGGCCAGTTTTTCCTGACAGAAGAAGAAATCTCCAAGGCAGACCCTCACGTTTCTTTGCAACCCTTCTATCTGTAGCTGCCACCATTGGTCCCTGTACATTTTAGAGCACATTTTCTCAAACAACCACATCATTTATCTTGCTCTAAACAATGAAATCTAAATGTATTCATCAATAATTCATCAAAAACAGTCATCTGTAGTTCTAGTTTGATCCAAGCAAAACAAACAGATCATAAAGAAACTACAAAAAAACACAATATCCAAACCCTATATTCCATTAACATACTAATTTACTTAAAATAAAAAGTGTCAACAAACTTTCCACAAATTGGATCTTGAAAATGTGTTTTCCCAAGTTAAATTGAAAAAGTAAACACAGCTCTCTACAATGTGACGCTAACTCAATTGGGACGGGGAATGCTGTGCAACGTTCCTCCATTGTTTTGATTCCTGTGAACATTGGTTAATCATTTTGTACTATTGAGCCCATGACCATCTGCTATTGGCAAATCAACCAGTCCTTTGAAGCGACTGTTGGGACTTTTGGGCTATAATGGATTTTATTTGCTGTTTTTCACGGGGAGAATTTTTAAAATGTATTTAAGCTTTTGAACAGTAAAGTGAAAACAGTTGATTATCAGTATAACAAATGATATCTCTAAAAAGAAAACCATTTTCAACTTCAACTGATTTAGTTTCAAATGTGACTATATCTTGTCGATTTGAATTCCCATTACATTTACTGAACAAACCATGCATTAAAGCTGAGATAGCGTTTTGTTTCATAAATTCAATTGTGTGTCTCCCAATAGAAAGAAAAATGCGGTGAACAAACCAGACCACAACATGATGTCTTATTCTTTCTAGAACAATTATTTTTAGCATACTTTGAGTCACTGTTTGCCTCCTTAAGCTGAGTGCTCCTCTCTCTTCTGTATAAAAAGTTGAAAAATATAGAACTAAACTGGTTTGGTGAGGAACTAGTTTTAGTTTTGTATTACACAAAACATGTTTGCGGTTTGAAAGTTTCCCCAGCTTTAAAACAAATTTATATTTCTTCCACTCATGTAAAAACCTTTCTATAAAGAAATCGTTTTTTAAAGATGTCCAACTCATTTTGAAACAATGCTTATGAAATTTCCTCCAGGTGCGGACTTTGTGGCACGACCCCAAAAACATCGGCTGGAAAGATTACACAGCTTACAGGTGGCACCTCATCCACCGACCAAAGACTGGATTCATCAGGTAGAAATGTTGACTCGTATCTGTGGTTCATTTTACTGAAAAATCTGCTTCAAAAAACAGCGTAATGAAGTGAAATATTTGGCGTTTACAGGGTTGTAGTTTATGAAGGAAAACAGATCATGGCTGACTCAGGACCAGTGTATGACAAGACTTTTGCTGGAGGCAGATTAGGACTGTTTGTCTTCTCTCAAGAGCTGGTTTTCTTCTCCGACCTCAAGTATGAGTGCAGAGGTGAGTGCAATAAGTTTATTATAATGTAATATGGACTCAAACTCTGCGAATAAACTTGCACAATGTTACTTCTTACTTTGTGGTTCGTCACCTGCTTGTTTCCCAATAGGTGTTATTTTCATTATTAAACATGTTACAATTACAGTATACAATATCAAATGATACGATACACCAGTGGTTAGTGTTTAGGTGAAGCCATTAAGTTTGTGCCATCTTTGTGAGCCAAAAATCGCAAATGTGAGTTTTGATCTTGGCCATTTGGGAAGGTTTGGGTGATGTCAAAGTTAGTATCTAAAAAGAAGTCCATTCCTCCATACACCTGCTGCTTGGTCCGTTGTAGAGTCTCCACAAAACATAGTCAATCAAAATCAAGTGTCACCTGCTTACGTGATGTTTTATGATGTACTGTTGAACTTTCTTTCAGCAGAAATATTTCATTGTTCACTTTAAACTTACATAGATACACACTTTACTAGTTTAGGATAAAATGACATAGTTAATTGAGAAAACAGTGGATTATGGCAGAACGGTCAGTTTATTTACAATTGAAAAGATTATAAAAAGTAAATCTGAAATAATGTGTGTTAAAGATGAGAAAGCTAACTTTTTACTTAAACAATAGAGTTTGTTTGTACTATAATGGAGAGTCCTGTAAAACTCACTTTAGATTTAATATTACTAGTAAATATTTAACATATTGTCTATACTTTATATGATTCAGATTCATATTCATTTTTTTTGCCATTTGCAGTAAAACCACATTGGAATACATTAGCAAAAGTCCCCAGAGTGCACGGGACAAGTACATAAATAAAACAACATTAAAAGTACAGAAATAAAACAAATAAAACAGTAAACAAATGTCACTTTGAAAACGATCGTTTAAAACAGTATAGTACAGAATACTTTTAATACTACTTGTGTATGTCTAAAATAATCTGTTACAAAGCTGTGACAGAGGCTAAAAACAGATGCATGTGAAAACTAGTGATACATTTTTAGTTTAGACAAAGAGGAATTAGCATTTTATTACATAGTTCAGATATTGTGGCAGTATTTGAAGGTGTAACAAGGCAGTGTTATCATGAAGGGCGTACAGTGATGCTTTTATGTGAGAAAATAAAAAAATGGGAAAAGTGTTTTTAGCTGCTTTAACGCCCATCCCCCATGTGTCTATTGTGACGGCCTTCTCTTTGAACTGTGCTCGTCTCTTCACTCAGATAAGCCGGAGTTTCCAACAGTGTTCATGAGGTAATAATGACAGAGCTGCTAATGTGTTGTGTTTTGGCTGAAGCACGACAAAAGAGTCACGCTATGTTTTTGCTTGTCTGCTCACCCTTTTTTTTTCTTTCTTTTTTTACGTGGCATTATGAGAGGGCCTCATGAGGTAGTCTAGGGCCCTCAGATCAATGGGAATATAGACCAATCACAGCTATGCTTTTGACACACTGCACACATGTTGTTGTTGCTCACTTTTTGGCACTTACTGTGTAACTTGTACTCAGTGTGCAATTATGAGTTTGACGGTAATTTCCCCCAATCTTTCCACAGATAACTGAATCAAGACAGACACGAAATGGCTAGAAGATAGAGACTGAATTTCAACACATGTGAAGTATAAGTCGTGGTCTTTATCAGCTTAAAAAGACTTGAATGTTTTTGCCGTTATACAAGTTTTTGTGTCCTAAAGACTGGGATAGAACAGCGGCTAACACGCCATGAACAATATCACCGTAGCACCACATTTTCCATTTTATAATATGTCCTTTCTAGTATTGACTGTACAACCACTTTAGATTTGCTTTTGTTTGTTTGTTTGTTTGATTATTGTGAACACTATTCTTCTGGGATCCAATACGACAGTTTAGTTGAGAATACATGTCTTTCCCCAAAACAATAATAAAGTAAAACAAAAACAAAAATCAGTTCATTGTATTAGTGACAATCCTAATAGGAATGTGTCAGGATGGTAGAAATGTGAGTGCACGGACCTGAATACAACCGAAATGCATTACTGTCATACATTATCAAATGTGTGGTGTCTTATTGTTCATAGGCCCAATATCACAAACAATGTGATTGTTTGGACTGAACTAAAACTGGACCAAATATAAAGTAGACTGAAATGCCAATCATTTCATAATCAATATCAATTCATATCAATTAGGGTTATTATATTTAACTATTTCACTCCAAATTGTGTGGGGTTTTTAGCTAATATTTCCTGAGAATATTTGCTTTAAAATATGGTATAATGTGCCATACTGCCAATACCATTGATGCTACAAGTTAATATTAACAGCTGATCATCATTTTAGAGGCCAGTAAAAGGGTCTGAGTACAACATGCCGGCTGTGGGCTTTTCCATTTAACTTTAGGGGGTCAAAAAAACTTCATATAATAGATGTGTTTATCATGGCTAAATAGCTGGTTTTGATAGATCATTTGTGGACATTTAACTTTTCTAAAGAATGACAGTAATGATACAGAATTCACCTCTGTCTGTTTTGGGCCTAGAGCTGGTTCCATACTCACTGCTCTCACTGCTCTCACTGCTCGCTTTTGTATAACCTGTAATTTTGTCATCTGTTACTGAACTATTCGACCTTATTGATGAACAGTAGTCCAACGCCGAAAAACAGCAATGTTTGTGTAATGTGTTCCATTGACTTGTCCTCCTTCTGAATGTGCCTGTATGAAATTGAATGAGTGAATTGAAGCCATTTCAGCCAAAGACAAAGATGTTTATAATAGGTCTGTATTATAATTCCTTTTGTAAATTATTATTGCTCTGCCTGTTTGTCTTGTTCTTTTGCAGTTTTGATAAAGTTTGTAAATATTTATTTATTTGTTTACACTGACAAATATAAAGCATTGTCACAACCCAACGGGATTCACATGCATCAGAGGTGTTCATATTTGTGCAGTCCTTAAACAGAAGGTGTTAGACTTGTGTGTTCAGGTCTGTATTTAATCAAACTGCTATTTCACATTTAATCACATGTTAACAAAGCTTTATAATTATAAATAATAGCTGTGCCAAGCCATTATGTATATACTGTAGTTGAAGCCACTTTGTATTCCTGTGTGGATCCAGTCTGCACAAGAGGAAGGACATATAGAACACCAGCAGCCGATAATAACAATCTTATACCCTCCTGATGACGTAATAACACATCTTTGCTTCTGTCTCTTTTATGTTATTTGTTGAAGAATATTGTTAGATTTGATGCTGTGTTTTGTGACTTTATAAGACTTTAGCTCATGTATCATTATGTGTGATTTACTCTGTGGCTCAGAATCTGCACAGTGTTGAAAGACAACCACATATTGTGGACTCTAAGCCTCCAGTGTGGACCGTGTTGGGAAGTCCCTTAATAATAATACATGGTAGATCAGATATAAAGGAATTCTAATTGTAATGTGTTACAGAACTGAGTCATCAATAAGGGTGCGTTCACATTTGTCGGTCTGGTTTGCTTTAACTGGACTAATTCTGGGAATAATATATTTATTTATATTTATTTATGTGGATGCAAAATTATAGAATAAGTCAACATGTTTCTAATTCACTTCAATTACATTTATATTTGTGTAGCCCTAAATCACAATAGCAGTTAACTCGGGGACTTCAAAAGGTTTTTGATTCTCTAACACGGACGGTCCAGTGGCACAGTGGTTTGCACAAGTTTCAGCAAGAAGGTCCTGGATCCTGGTCAGAACAGGGTCTTTCTGAGTTTGCATGTTCTCTCTGTGTTGCGTAGGTTTCCTGCAGGTGATCTGGTTTCATGTATATAAAACAATGCCCCTAGTAATTAATTTTTCCCATCAATAATCCATTTTGTTGCGGCTCAATTGAAACAGTTTTGCCCTACTTTTACTACCTGCTGAAAAAACTAATTGAGAATTAATCGAAAGATGTGAAAGAGCTAAAACAAATAAAAAATAAAAAAAAATACATGTATGTGACAATAAGTGTAATGTTTATTTGGTTTGGACACCTCTCCAGATTGTAGCCTTGGGATTTTTTTCATCCATTCCTCCGCAGTCGCTTTCACAAACACACAATCATTTACTCTGAACAATTGTACATGTTATTAGTGGTAGGGAGAACCAACGTAGATATGAGGAACATGCAAACTTCACACAGAAGGGCCCCTGTCTCAAGGTGGACTCAAACCCAGAACCCTCTTGGTGTACAAACGATCTGTGCTGTGTAATTGTGCCACATTTTAGAGAATTTATTTCAATATTTGTGGTTGAGGGTTCTCTCGACTTTAACTAAGTTTATTTTACTTGAAAAATATCTGTGAATTTCTGTGAAACAGTGAATCCAGACTTGGTCCAGTTTAAGTGAACCAGACCAACAAGTTTGAATGTGTCCTTAGTGACATAACTTTGTAACACTTATTTAGATCACGTGCATTTACTTTCTCTAAGCAGTGAGAGAAGAATCACAATAAACAGTGTATACACTTATATCATGTTGTGTTTTCACAATGCAAGTCAAACCAGGTCTTGTAACTTCTCTTCCCAACACTGGTGTGCAGGAGTGTGGATCTAACTTTATCTAAATCACTTATCCATTTATGTTTTGTTGAGTTTTTCATTGCAAAATGTGTTAGAAATTTTTACACAAGAATGTTTTATATGATGTTCAACAGCGTACTGCAAAAGCACATGACCAAGAGTTGTCACTGTGGTTCAGTCTGCACAGCATCAGTATGCTTTAACACAAGCAGCGTAACATTAAAATACTAAAGTACTATGTTCACGGAGTAAATCTCTTGTCATTTCTCTTCAGAAACGATGTGTCATCTAATAATTTTTTACTGTATGAGCTCCAAAACCATAGTTATTTTAACAAACAAATCACAGGAGATGAATGAGTTAAATATGTGATATTGTGGCCAGGAAAGAAATGTGCTATTGGGGAAAATGGAAGTCAACCCCTCTGGTGCTTCTGTGGCAGAGGTATTTGGGCTGAGGCTTTGGGACGTCTCCATGGGTTTGGCACTCACACATGCTCCAAACTGGTCCTGCCAAAACATGTCAATGTGCAACAAATAATTACCTTTTTCTACAGGAGTTAAGATTTATCAATCAGAAAATGATTTAATGAAGTGTTTGAAAAGTTGAAAAGACGGAGATGACTTCTATTTGGACCAGTTTTAAATGTGCTATGAACAATATAGCTGTAACAATGAATATTGTAGGACTTAAAACGACATACATATGGCAGTACTTTGTCCGATTTTGCTGAAGAAGAGACAAAAGAAAGCTGAGAGGAGACAGGAAACCCTCTTATTTAAACAGGAGGTGAAAGTCGAGATGCTCCCTGATGTTCCACTTCAGTGTCCTGCGCTGGGATACAGGAGCTTAACACAATATTCCACTGACGGACTTTCTCCACTTCACATTTATCAAACCATCATCTCCTGAGTGAGGAAATAAATATGTATGAGGATAATGGCTCCAGACTGGAAACCAAAGTTATCATTCACTTCTCACTGTTACTTTTCTGGTGGGGGGTCTGCCTTGTCCTGATGAGAATGTTATTGCTCTGAAATGTTCCACGGTATGACATTACACCGATGAACAGATTTACTGAGTCATATAAAGGCTTTTATTCCTCAGTTTTGTTCTTCCTCAAAAGTGTCTCAAGGTGATCAAAGTAATAACAGTGTAGCACTTTTTGGAAACTCAAAGGCCATCTCAAAGGATTTCATCTATCTATCTATAGCTGTAAGCCATTCCTGAGGGTGGGGGACCTCACACCAGTCTCATACCTCAAACAAGGCATTGTGGGTAAAGTGTCTTTCAGGAACTTTACTGCCACAGCCGCCCCACTGTAGGTCTACCATCACAGCCATAACCAAGCCCTGCCCTACTCAGCTTTGGATAGGATTAGAAGCGGTGCAGGTGGTGACACAATAACTGAGAATAGTGTGTTTGGTTAAAATAGTTTTTTTTTAAGTGCCAAAGATGTATTTCAAATTCTACAATTGTTGAGTTGATTTTTTTTTTTTAAACGTTCTTCCTCTTCTTGTAATAATTGTGATGAATTCATTTGTGAATAACCACAGAATCTTGAGAACCTTTAGTGAATTTATAATGACCTGATGGATGAGTTTATTAATTAATGATTTGTGCATTCATACTCATTATGAAATGTTATCGTGATTATATCAAAGCCTTATGGAGAGTGACTATGAATGAATGAATGACATTTTTATTTTTGGTCAGTTGTTTGATCAATAACACATTACATTCACTGACTATATTACAACCAAAAATAGGATTGGGCTGAAGCAACTTGCTTGTATAAGCCCAACCTGACATCATGACACATACAGGTCATTAGCTACTACACAGCAACTATATAAACAAACAAACAAAAAAGTACACATTACTGATTTAAAAGATAAATTACACATTTGGTAGAACAATGTATTTTTATTTTTTTCACTTATTTCTTTTTGTTATATCTTTATTATTATTACTTCTAAGACAAGATATATGACTTAATTATTTCACATTTTAAGGTAGTTTTAA